CAACTTTTTCTTATATTTATTGATTTTCAATGCGATACAAAACCATTGTTTATTATTAAACACCACATGTTTTGTAAAAAACAAAGTTTTTAAGGGAAAAACGATATTTATTTAATGAGCTAGAAGCTTGCAAAGTCATAATTAAATATTTCAACGCTGTTTATTAAGAAACACTGAATGTTTTTTAAAAAACAAGTTTCGTTAAATAATCTCGACTTATTAATTCAATAATTTTCTAAGTAGCACTACAGAGTCTAATCGATTGCATAAACACCTAATGTTAAAGAAATTTAAATTCAGTTCTTGATATTTGTTTGACATTTATTCTGCTGTTACTAATTTTGAAAATTGACTGCAAATTATATTAAGCACTACTTCAAAACAGCCAAAATCCATAAATTTAAGAATTTCGCAGTTGGTTTTCCGTGGATTAAAAAATAGGTTTTTTAAGACTTTCGTAAAGAAACAAACTTTAAAATCTCCTAAAAGATTGAATATACAGTTTTGAAACCAACCTTTTCTTATATTTATTGATTTTCAATTCGTTACAAAACCAATGTTTATTAAGAAACACCACATGTTTTGTAAAAAACAACGTTTTTCAAGGGAAACATGACATTTATTTAATGAGCTAGAAGCTTGCAAAGTCATAATTAAATATTTCAACGCTGTTTTTTTAAGAAACACTGAATGTTTTTTAAAAAACAAGTTTCGTTAAATAATCTCGACTTATTAATTCAATAATTTTCTAAATAGCACTGCAGAGTCTAATTGAATGCATAAAAACCTAATGATAAAGCAATTTAAATTCAGTTCTTGATATTTGATTGACATTTATTCTGCTGCTAATAATATTGAAAATTGACTGCCAATATTTATAACTTTGTTGGTTTCATTTGAAATATTCAATTATGATTTTTCAGAGCTACTTGGACAGTAAATAAATCAAGTTTTTTCCCCATGAAAACTATGTTTTTTTAAAAATAATGTAATGTGTCATCCAAATTAATGTTGATTAATTCAATAATGACTAGGTAGAGCTACTTGGACTGTAAATAAATTTTTAAATCAAGATTTCTTTTCTATGATACACAGTTTTTGTAAAACCAGTGGCGTTTGTTAAAAAACAATGGTTGTGTACCAAATTGAAAATAAATAATATTAAAAAAATCTGAGGTTTCAACTTTATATTCAATTTTAGAAGATTTCAATGTTTGTTTATTATGAAGTATTGAAAAAACTTGTTATTAAATCAACATAATAAACACCATACCATAACAAACATTACGAAACATTCATTTTCTTATACGGAAACCCAGCAAACTTACTGAGAAATTCTCAAATTTACAGATTTTGTGCTTCAAATTATTTGCAGTCAAGTTTCAATTTATATATTATTGAATAAATTCAACAAAAATCTAGTATCGAAATTTAGATATTTTTTAACATTAGATGTTTACATATTCGATTAGATTCTGCAATGCTATTTAGAAAAATATTGAATAAATAAGTCGAGATTATTTAACGAAACTTATTTTTTACAAAACATTCAGTGTTTCTTTAAAAACAGCGTTGAAATATTTAATTATGACTTTGCAAGCTTCTTGCACATTAAATAAATGTCGTTTTTCCCTTGAAAAACTTTGTTTTTTACAAAACATGTGGTGTTTCTTGATAAACATTGGTTTTGTATCGAATTGAAAATCAATAAATATAAGAAAAAGTTGGTTTCAAAACTGTATATTAAATCTTTTAGAAGATTTTAAAGTTTGTTTCTTTACGAAAGTCTTAAAAAACCTATTTTTTAATCAACGGAAATCAAACTTGCTGAAAATTCTTAAATATATGGATTTTGGCTGTTTGGAAGTAGTGCTTAATATAATTTGCAGTCAATTTTCAAAATTAGAAACAGGCGTAACAGCAGAATAAATGTCAAACAAATATCAAGAACTGAATTAAAATTTCTTTAACATTAGGTGTTTATGCATTCGATTAGACTCTGCAGTGCTATTTAGAAAATTATAGAATTAAAAAGTCGAGATTATTTAACGAAACTTGTTTTTTAAAAAACATTCAGTGTTTCTTAAAAAACAGCGATGAAATATTTAATTATGACTTTGCAAGCTTCTTGCACATTAAATAAATGTCGTTTTTCCCTTGAAAAACTTTGTTTTTTACAAAACATGTGGTGTTTCTTGATAAACATTGGTTTTGTATCGAATTGAAAATCAATAAATATAAGAAAAGGTTGGTTTCAAAACTGTATATTCAATCTTTTAGGAGATTTTAAAGTTTGTTTCTTTACGAAAGTCTTAAAAAACCAATTTTTTAATCAACGGAAAACCAACTTGCTGCGAAATTCTTAAATTTATGGATTTTGGCTGTTTTGAAGTAGTGCTTAATATAATTTGCAGTCAATTTTCAAAATTAGTAACAGCAGAATAAATGTCAAACAAATATCAAGAACTGAATTTAAATTTCTTTAACATAAGGTGTTTATGCATTCGATTAGACTCTGCAGTGCTATTTAGAAAATTATTGAATTAATAAGTCGAGATTATTTAACGAAATTTGTTTTTTACGAAACATTCAGTGTTTCTTAAAAAACAGCGTTGAAATATTTAATTATGACTATGCAAGCTTCTTGCTCATTAAATAAATGTCGTGTTTCCCTTAAAAAACTTTGTTTTTTACAAAACATGTGGTGTTTCTTAAAAAACAATGACTGCGTGTATCAAATTGAGATTAAATAAATAAGTAAATAAACATACAAGAAAATATTTGAGCTAATTTTTTTTTCATCAATTGAATAAATCATTGAGAGTAGATTATAAACCAAAAATAAAAATTATTTTCTTTGTGCGACAATGCAGTTGTACAACTTCCAAGCATTGTTTTGACATTATACACGATTATACATATACTTCATCAAAATAATGTCGTTTCTTAACTGTTTTTATGACGCTACAGAGAAAATTGGAATTTTAATGAATATATTGATCACGAGGTACTTTTTAAACCCTTTGTTTTAAACAAAACAAAAAGTGTTTTTTAGAAAACAATATCGTTTTCATCTGATTGAGACAATTTTACTTATGGTTAAAATGTATTTACTTAAAATTAGTTCAATAATATTATTATTTCACGCGCCAGAAGGATAATATTTTCTATATTAATCGATTGCGAACAAGCAGTGCGAATTAAACAATAACAGAATGTCAAAACGAGACACTTTTTTGTTATACAAAAAAGAAAAAAAAAAAATAGGACACATGGTGTTTTCTTGAAAATTGGTGGATTAAAGTATTTTGAAATGAGAATTTATATTTTTAATAACTATATGGTTGTTAATTATGCGTGTATCTTATAATAGAATCACGAATCACATACAATGATGTATCAATTTATTTTCGAATATTTACTATACACCTATAAAATAATTCATAAAATTTTTCCAGTCAGATATAAATAAAGATCCAGTTAAAAACGTTTTATTTTTTAAGTGAGGTATATGCAAATTTCTTTTTTGAAACTAACACAACACACCCCCGACGAGTACATTTCTACGAGTGCATGTATTTCGTATGCATGTTCATTTTCTACTAGTAAATTTTTGACGAGCATATATTATGTGGATTTATGCATTTCGTATGCATGTACGTTTCTGACGAGTACATTTTTGACGAGTGAATGCAAATGCACGCATTTCGTGTGCATGTACGTTTTCGACGAGTACATTTTTGACGAGTGCATGCTATGGTATGCATTTTGAATGCATGTACATTTTCTACGAGTACGTTTTTGACGAGTGCATGCGATAGTATGCATTTTGAATGCATGTACATTTTCTACGAGTACGTTTTTTACGAGTGCATGCGATAGTATGCATTTTGAATGCATGTACATTTATGACGAGTTCATTTTTGACGAGTGCATGCAAATAAATGCATTTTGTATGCTTGTACATTTTCTACGAGTACGTTTTTGACGAGTGCATGCGATAGCTTGCAAGTTTTAGGCATGTACATTTATGACGAGTACATTTTTGACGAGTGAATGCAAATGCATGCATTTCGTGTGCATGTACGTTTTCGACGAGTACATTTTTGACGAGTGCATGCGATAGTATGCATTTTGAATGCATGTACATTTTGTACGAGTACGTTTTTGACGAGTGCATGCGATAGTATGCATTTTGAATGCATGTACATTTTCTACGAGTACGTTTTTGACGAGTGCATTCGATAGCTTGCAAGTTTTAGGCATGTACATTTATGACGAGTTCGTTTTAGACAATTGCATGCAATAAATGTATTTTGCTTGAATGTACGTTTCTGACGAGTGCTTTTTTGACGAGTACCTTTTTGACGAGTACAATTTGGACGAGAATGCACTTTTTCCAAGTGCATATAGGCAAGTTTTCCGACGAAGTGTCGGGTACCTGCGGCGGGCTCCCGCACTCACTACCCGTTTGGGCCACGCGGGGGCCACGGAGGATCGCAAGCGGCCGGGGGGGACGGATTCGACGAGGGCGGTCGCTAAGTGTACGATTTCTACGATGTACGTTTTCTACGTACATAAATGACTACGAAGTCCGTATCAGGGATGAAAATGTATCACATACTTTGATTTTAATAAAAAAAGTAATTGGCATTCTGTCTAAATTTATGTGTGTTTTGGGTGAACTCGGCCCAGGAAAATAAAGAAGAGTGAAATGAAAGAAGACGCCTCGACGTCATTTATAAATGTTCGCTAGCACGAGTTTCAAATCTTCCCCAACTAATCTCTATTGCTTACGTAGTTCTTACAAATTTCTCCAGATCGAGAAGGGGCTCCACGCGAGTTCTCTTCCCCAAAATTAAATCAATAATAGCCCTGTCCATCCTCCGTATCATTAAATAATTTTAACCAAATACAAAATATTTGATAGTTGGTATTCATGAAAATTCATAGCAACAGGGGGAGAATAAATAATTATTAATTAATTGCTCGACACTTGCCTATTTCTCGGGGGTTGGGGAATGGAAAAGGCTGGGTGATGGAGGTGAAGAGCGTGTCACTCATCAAGTCCATGTAATCTTCATCGACCATCATTGAATTCCCTGACTCGTTGCTGTCCGGGTGCCACTCGAACATGTCGATGTCCCCCAGCTTTCCACAAATCAAATGTTACCAAAAAGAATGAATATTGATCAATCGCTCTCACCCCGTGGTCTCCATCTTTGGGCGTCCATCCCATGATTTTGTTTTTGTAAAACATTCGCCATTTTTTGTACTCTGCAGTGACTGTGGCAAGTTTCCGCTTCCAGTACTTGCCTTCGAGGACTACGGCCTGCGAAGGAGAAAATAATCAAGTTTAGCAGCGCCGCCCATTATTTATACACAATTCGCAGACATGCATTCGGTTGATAACAATTTCACACTTGTCTGCACCAGACGAAAGATTGATTCCTCTTATCGCGTGAAGAAAAAACGGCTTCTTCGGTGAAAGATGAGCAATTTTTTGTTTCTGCATTTGATAACAGAAAAATCCCTGCTGTTATCAAATGCAGAAACAGTAAATTGCTCATCTTTCACCGAGGAAGCCGTTTTTCCTTTCACCTCTAAATATGACCACCTTGAGTGACAACAGTGGTCTCAAAAACCTCTATAGAAACATAGTAGGAGTTGTTAGACCACAAACCAAAGAAGTTATAGCTAATTTTTCCAAAACTTTCCTGATTGCATAACCACTAGTTTTTCCAACCTTCAAACTTTTTGGAGTTCACTTATAACGCAAAGTTTGCCATTTGAATATTTTTCTCAATTTCTCCACTTATTGCGTCTTCAAAGAGGCGCTTATTTTTTTTTTAAATTTAATCAATTGTAGGGGTTGAGATCTGGGTAAAAGTAAAACCTTATGAATAGGTCCAGGTCACTCCTTCCAAGGATTTACAATTTCTTGCTTAAAATAAGCATACTAAGCAAATTCAAATCCATTCAAATTTGCAGTAATGCAAGGTGCAAGATTCACGAGCGCGCTCAAAAAACGGCACTCGCGCTCTTTGAAAACCTTGCGCTCGCTCTCACTATTTGAAAAATACGGCGCTCGCACTCAATCTGATCATTTCTGGCTAATTTTTGTGAATGCTAATTTTTACACCCCCACCCATAGTTGAACTTGGCCGCCGAAGGCGCCGAACAAAAAACTTCATGTTTTTCGGCGACCATCTAAAAATCCCAAACAGATCATTCTGATCATTTCTGGCTACTTTTTGTGAACGCTAATTTTTACACCCTCACCCATTGCATAGTTAGTCAAATGATTACTATTTATTCCGTGCTTAAAAAAAAAATTAAACTTGTTTAAAAATAGCGTAGCGGTGCGCGACTTTCCGTAATGTACATTGTTTCGGCGCATTGTGTGAATTTCGCGCAGAAATTCAAATTTTGGCCAATCAGATGCCGCCCAGAGCACGTCATCCCTCCAACTCATCTGTTTCTCTCCCAATTGCGTGGGCGTGGGAGCTCAAAAGAGGAAAGAAAAAAAACAATACACACGATTCGTGGTAAATAATAATTTGGCTTTAAAAAAAGGTGCAACTGAAGAAGAAGTTGTTCAGAAACGTCAATTTTATGTGAGTGTTTGTTGTCGTAAAAATTAGGAATCAAATTATAGATCCCCTTTATCACATTACTCTACGAGCAAAATATTTTTGACTTTCATTTAAATAGCATTATTCAATACCTCTCTAGTTTTTGTGTGTAATTGGAAGTGGGAGTATTTTTTCTAATATCTCCTTGTAGCTTGAGAATAATGTTTTGTGAAAATAATATATTAAATTATTTTATTTATCTTTTTATGAGCTAAAGAAAATTTTTTGTAATTTTTTATTTTACTTAACATATTCCGTATTTTAAACTAGTGAGACTTAGCATTAGCTACGTCCTCTTTGACAGCTTGACTTAGGTTTCTCTGTCTTTTTTAAGGTTGCGCCTTAACTTAAGTGGCTTTCGGATTCACTTTCTTTGGAGGCTTTGGTTTCCCTGAGGTGATCTTAAATCTTCGATGGTCGACCATTGGAATTTTCGATGCATCGAAATGGAGCACGAATAAGAAATTATATATTATATCTTTTAGACAAGACTTGACAAAGAGGACTTGATAAAAGAGTGCGAATGCGCAACCTAAAAGACAGAGAAACCTAAGTCAAGCTGTCAAAGAGAACGCAGCAAATGCAAAGTCTCACTAGTTCAAAATACGGAATATGTAACGTAAAATAAAAAAATTACAAAACGAAAATACAAAAAATTTTCTTTAGCTCATAAAAAGATAAATAAATTATTTAACATATTATTTTCACAAAACATTATTCTCAAGCTACAATTAGGAGTTATTAGAAAAAAATCTCCAACTTCCAATTACACCCAAAAACTCCAGAGGTATTGAATAATGCTATTTAAATGAAAGTCACAAATATATTGCTCGTAGAGTATGTGAATTAGGGGATCTATAATTTGATTCCTAATTTTGACGACAACAAACACTCACATAAAATTGATGTTTCCAAACAACTTCTTCTTCAGTGGCACCTTTTATTAAAGCCAAATTATTATTTACCACGAATCGTGTGTATTGTTTTTTTTCTTTCCTCTTTTGAGCTCCCACGCCCACGCGATTGGGAGAACCAGATGAGTTGGAGGGATGACGTGCTGCTCTGGGCGGCATCTGATTGGCCAAAATTTGAATTTCTGCGCGAAATTCACACAATGCGCCGAAACAATGTACATTACGGAAAGTCGCGGCCCGGTAGAAAGCCGTCGCCGGCGAAGCAAAATTGGGCCGTTTAGTTGGCGTGGGCCGCCTATTTTAAAAACGCCCGGTAAAATTTTTAGAGCCAGTCCGGCACTGCTCCCTTGACTGGTGCAAGAAACGAAGATTCTTGTATCAGTCAGAAATTAGAACGTTTTGCCCATAAAATTAAGTCTCAAACCAAGTGCTGTAGCTATGTCCATACAGCAAACGAGGCCGGAAATGTCCACTTTTACTTTCTCACATGAACTCCTATTGTGCAAAATCGTTTTACGTTACTAATTTACTTAGCTTTTACAAAATTTTAACCAAAGAGCTTGTTAGAACCCTCAACTTGATTAAATTTAACTCTCAAAACAGCCCTATTTTTAGAATTCATTCGCAAGTTATGCAACCCCAGTGCACGGGTGCTGCACCATGCTGCCTACCTGCCACGGGCTTCCAACCCGATTGGCTATTTCTGCATTATGGTTTTGAAGCAAGCGATTATAAACCTTATATATATATGGATCCGTCTATGGTCTTAGAGGCCATTTTCGCGTGAAAAAAATTTGTCGGAACTAGACTTCAGTCATAATAACTGTTGGATATTATGACTGGTGGTCATAATATCCAATTTGCGACAGTGGGACTTCTGTCAAAATACCGCGACAGTGACGATATAGGAATCAAACTGTACCGAGAAAACTTTGACAACATAAAGGAAAAAAAATAAAAATTGTTTTTATATATTCAAGGAATACGAAAATTAAATTTATTCTAGCGTGACTAAATGAAAAAGCACCTAAAAACAAGTCATTTTTTCATTGAGGGCGATCCAAAAGCCTAACCTGGCCCAGGCTAACTTGACTTGGCCCCGGGCTAATTAAGCCCACCAGCAAAATTTAATGGCGGGTTAAATTAGCCCAGGCTAGGTTAATTTAGCCTGGGCCAAGTTAGCCTTTTGGATCGCCCTCATTATCTCTAGCCTCTTTTGAGATTCTAATATGCATAAATAGGCATCTCACTGTACAGAGAAAAATTTGACAGCATTTAAGAAAAAAATAAAAATTCTTTTTGTATATTTCAATTTTGGATCATTTCTAGCCAACTTTTTTGAAACATTTTTTTATTTTACCCTACACCCTTGAACCTTGGCCCACCCTTGCTTTGACGGTCCCGACTACCGACAGAAAAAAAATGTTTTTTAGCAACTATCTAAAAATGTTTTTCAGACAATTTCAATCATTTCTAGCTAACTTTTTTTGGTAATGTTATAGTACGCGCGACGTGTTTCCCAAAATCCCTGATTTCAGTTGGCATCACTTGCATTACGTCGCGCGTTTAATAGTGGTTTTACGTCGCGAATACAATAATGGTTTTACGTCGCGCGCTCAATACTGGTGGCGGTGAAATTGTTAAGGAAACCGATTATTCCATCGATACCTCAGCAACATGTATAGCACGCGCGACGCAATTCTTATCCTACAATCTTAATTAAGGGGACTGCTAGGAAGAATAGGGGCCCTTGGGATGGGTTCAGAATGGGGCAAGACGACCTCTGGAGGGCCGTGCGCACTCTTATAGCAGGCGCGACGTATCACTATGGGACGCGCGACGGTCGAAAAGCGAACTCCGGAGGGCGCTTTTCACCATTGTCAGAGGCGCGACGCATGGTTATAGGACGCGCAACGTATGCTTATAGTACGCGCGACGCACGGTTATAGTACGCGCGACGCATGCTTATAGTACGCGCGACGCACGGCAAATTAATTTAAAGGTGTTGCACGCGGCCGGAGTTGTGGGCGCCCCAATAACCGGCAACTCGGAGGTGGGCAACCCCCAAGATTAATTTTTGCAGAAGCCGCGAGCGAGGGGTGGAGGCGCAGCGAGGTCGAGGACGTGGGGAAGGCCGTGCGGAGGGCGAGGACAAAAGGGCGGCTGTGTTCATGAGGGGGCTCCGCAGGAGCCCCCTCACGAACCCCGCCCTTTTGTCCCGCCCGGAGCCGGCCTTCACCACGTTCTCGGGCGAGCGCGCCTCCAGCCCGAAGCTCGCAAACCCACAACGGAGTTGCCCACAAAAGGTGTTGTCTGCAAAGGTAGTTGTGGGCACCACACTTTTTGCTTTCTAAGCCCTTTTTGCGGACAATTCCTTTTGTAAGCAACTCCGTTGGGGGTTTGCGAGCTTCGGGCTGGAGGCGCGCTCGCCCGAGAACGTAGTGAAGGCCGGCTCCGGGCGGGGTTCGTGAGGGGGCTCCTGCAGAGCCCCCTCATGAACACAGCCGCCCTTTGTCCTCGCCCTCCGCACGGCCTTCCCCACGTCCTCGACCTCGCTGCGCCTCCACCCCTCGCTCGCGGCTTCTGCAAAAATTAATCTTGGGGGTTGCCCACCTCTCCGAGTTGCCGGTTCGTGGGGTGCCCAAAACTCCGGCCGCGTGCAACACCTTTCATAATAATTAATTAGTCGTGCGTCGCGCCTCCTATAAGCATGCGTCGCGCGTACTATAAGCATGCGTCGCGTGTCCTATAACCGTGCGTCGCGCGTAATATAAGCATACGTCGCGCGTCCTATAACCATGCGTCGCGCCTCTGACGATGGTGAAAAGCGCCCTCCGGAGTTCGCTTTTCGACCGTAGCGCGTCCCATAGTGATACGTCGCGCCTGCTATAAGGGTGCGCACGGCCCTCCAGAGGCCGTCTTGCCCCATTCTGAACCCATCCCAAGGGCCCCTTTTCTTCCTAGCAGTCCCCTTAATTAAGATTGTAGGAGGTATCGATGGAATAATCGGTTTCCTTAACAATTTCACTGCCACCAGTATTGAACGCGCGACGTAAAACCATTATTGTATGCGCGACGTAAAACCAATATAGAGCGCGCGACGTGATACTTTTACATGGGAGCATAAGTGTTGCCAACCTATGAAAAAACACGTCGCGCGTACTATAACATAACCCTTTTTTTAAACATTTTTTTTTTCACCTCACACCCCTGGAACCCTGGTCAACCCTTGTGACGGTCTGGACTGAAAAAAAATGATTTTTAGCAACCATCTATAAATCTTTTTCAGACCATTTGGATCATTTCTAGCTAACTTTTTTGAAACATTTTTTTTTACCCCACACTAGAGTGTTTGACGGGAGTCACGGGACCAATTTTTGAAAATTTTCCCGTCCAGTTTTCGTGGTATGCAAATAGCACTACTCGTATGTACGGTGGGTTGCTTAAATTATATCAATACCTCAAATTTTTAAAAATATTGTCTTGATTTCCTAATTTATTTATGATTATGTATATTTCTTTAAAAAGAAAGTGCGAAAAGGAGGTTGCGATTAGAAAAGTAGGCTATTCAAAAACTTTTAATTTTGACTTGGCTTGAAAATTTTAATTCATTTGAAAGAACAGGGAATTGAAAACTGATTTGTCTTTGCAACTAACTTCAATTTCCCAGTCCCGCGTCCCGTCCCGCTCCCGCTTCTCTTAAAGAAAACGGTGCCGGTCCCGCGGGAAACCCGCGGGGACCCGTCGGGACCGAGTCCCGTCAAACACTCTACCCCACACCCCTGGAACCTTGGCCCACCCTTGCTCTGACGGTCCCGACTCCCGACAGGAAAAAAATGTTTTTTATCAACCATCTAAAAACTTTTTCAGACCATTTGAAATATTTGAATAATTTCTAGCTAACTTTTTTGAAACGTTTTTTTTTTACCTCACACCCCTGGAACCCTGGCCCACCCTTGTGACTTGTGACGGTCTTGACTGAAAAAAAATGTTTTTTAGCAACCATCTAATAATATCGGACAGACCATTTGGATCATTTCCAGACAAATTTTTTGAAAAAAATTGTTTTTTACCTTCTTGCCTTAATTATTAAATTTTCAAAATCGACTAAAACAGACTATTTTGCTCGAAAATCGACTAAAATCGACTTAATTTAGGCCGAAAATCGACTAAAAAAAGTAGACTATTTTGACCTTAAAAATAGACTAAAACGCTCAGCCCTAGGCATCTCACATGTCGAGTGTAAAAATGAAAAGTGCCGTCGCAGGCGACAGCATCCTTCTTCAAATTTACACCATAACTCATAAATTTAAAATTATTAAATTGATAGATTCTTTCATGCCCCAAAATAACCTATTTCAATATGAAGCGTGTAGCTACAGGCCTCAGGGTATTACCAAGAAAGTTGGAAAATGTCAAAAGATAAATTGCTTTATTAAAAGGAAAAGGGAACTCTGAGGACAAAAATTATTGTTGAGGAATTTACCTTAGCTTGTTTTTTTTTATGAATCTACTGAACAGAATTTTTCTCATTCCTTTAAGAGTTCATTTCAGAGAATTAGTTTGGTTTTGCGATAATTTAAAATTGTATTTCATTATTATAACAAATATATAATGAGGGCAATCCAAAAGCCTAACCTGGCCCAGGCTAACTTGACTTGGCCTCGGGCTAACATAGCCCACCAGCAAAATTGAATGGCGGGTTAAATTAGCCCAGGCCAGGTTAACTTGCACCGGTCTAAATTAACCTGGCCCGGGCTTATTTAACTCGCCATTCAATTTTGCTGGGGGGCTAAGTTAGCCCGGGACTAAGTCAAGTTAGCCTGGGCCAGGTTAGGCTTTTGGATCGCCCTCAATATCTTTCAGTTTAATTAAAACCTGATCGGCTCTACAGCGGCAGTCTACATTTTCATTGACGAGAAAATCAAGAATTGGTCTATGGTCTATAGGTATATGAAATTTATACTCCAAATTGACTCTGTGGTGTTCCGCCCCCACACACGTACAATAACACATATACCCAACAAGCTCACACACCCTTAGGGTTGAGCGGAACGGCGTGGTGGTAAACGCGTAGACTTGTACGCGCGAGCTAGCACGACGCCTAGGTTCATACACTTTTGGCCCCCTCAACTCCAAGAACGTGTGCCTTACCGATCGAGCTTAACTTCCCTTGCTCACTCGTCAGACCTGAACTTACTACAAACTATTTTTGGAGTGGCTATTTCGATTCTTATTGCGCAATCAAATCTCGAATTAAGAATTTATAATTTTAATTGAGGGCGATCCAAAAGGCTAACTTGGCCCGGGCGCGGTTCCACAGACCCTACACCCATTCAGCGGAGCGAAGGTAAAATTTAAAATAAAATCATTTATTTTAAGTTAAGAGAAGGGAATATAAAAATATTTAAAAAGTTCAATTTAAAAAAAAATAATAATAATAATTTTTCAGACAAAAAAAAAATAAGAAAATGTTCCCCTGCTTTCACGCCGAGAGCCGGTGGCGCCACCGTCGCTCCGCTGAATAGGTGTAGAGTCTGTGGAACCGCTTCCGGCCGGGCATATAGGTATGTGGCGAATGCACAGCGTTTCAATTGCGAGTCCTCGATGGCGAGGAAAACACACTCTTGACTGTCTTGCAAATGGGTGCATCTCGATCGGGGGGCAACTCGCGATTTTAATACTTTTAATGAGGATAATGTTAAAATTTCCTAAATTAAGCAACTAAAAAAAATTCCAAATAAAGGGAGTACGTATTTTAATTCTAAAAGTTAAATTTTTTGACAAGTCAAATATAATACTGGCTTTAATAATTTTAAGTATATAACATGAATTGGTATGTTTTGGGGAATTAAATGTGAAAAATATGTTTTTAATGAGGATAATTTTAAAATTGCGTAAATTAAGCAACTAAAAAAAATCGGATAATGGGACTATTTAAAAATAAAAGATATTTTATTTTTCCCACAAATATAATATAAATATATTTCTATAGTTGAAAGATGAAGTCAAGTTTTTTATGAAAGCGAATGATGAATAATAATAACAAAATATTCCGCGTCGAATGATCTGTCTCGTTCCGAGCGAACAACGCTTGTTAAATCCCAGAAGCCTAACAATAAGATTATTTTGAAAACTTTTCAAAAATATGGCAATTCGGCCCCTGCCGGACAAGGCGGCTCCTGGAAAAATTTGCCCGAAAATATGCTTCATTTGAGTATTTAAAAATCCAAAATGGGGCCACCCGAACGCGAGTTCGAGCCGTCGGCGTGGTCCGAACTGACACGCGTGTAAATTCCCATAATGCGGAATTTATGCCGAAAAATTGGCAATTCGGCCGCGGCGGGACGCGAATTCCCAAAATCCAGTCTCGTTGGGCACCAGGGCACCGCCCATCAGCTTTGCCGCCGCGCTTTCAAAATTTTCGCCTCGATCTCGCTCACCTCAATCACCATGTGAGTCAAGCTCACTACTTTTGCAGCAGTAATACTTGATTTTCCTTCATAATAATCACAATTTCTCACTGTCATAATTTTTAACAATCAATTAATGTAAATATATAATTATTATAAATGTTAAAAGGCAAACAGAAAATAAATCGACTTCTATTGGGTTGTGAATATGCACTATTTGTTGCACATTAACTTTGGCCTAGGTGCATAATAAATAAAAACAATGACAATGGCAGCCGTGAAAAGTCCTGTTAAAAATGTTTTTCCGACAGAATTCCACACTGTCTGTGTGGAATATTCTGAAAATTCCACCGTTTTGAGGGCCAATTTATCATCAGTGGATGAGATTGACGAGTGGGTCAAAGTATTTTCAAAAATTTCTAGAAGTTGTTGGATCGTCGAATACTGTTACGAAGAAATGGAAAGGTTTTTTTATATCTCATTAAAATAAGTACTCTATTAATTAAATAAAAAATATAATCCCTCTATAGGTATCATATTCATAAAAGGTTTCACTGCCACCTTAGCAAATTGAACAAAAAAGTTGATTCGAAGCGAACAACAAATTGCAAAGTGACACTGGGTACCATCATAATGTCCTAAAGAAAATGTCCTAAATTCAAATAATTGAAAAAATAAAAGTGTATGAATGTTTGAAACAATCATATTATTTTCCAAAAATACAAATTATTGTTAATAATAATATTATTACTACAACTTATATTGAAAATAAATTTAACGAATATTTTCAATTATAATTTTTCATATTTTTGTCTTGAAAAAAAATTTAATGATATTTTTTAGTAAACATTTTCGTAGGAAAAAATACCATTGCCTGAAGATTTTTTACGAAATTCTTTGAGACTATTGTCTAGAAGAAAGGTTAATAGCTATATTTCTCAACTATACCCATAGCAAAAGCGAAGAAAAAAATATTTGAGTCATTACAAAAGCCTAAAATTACTAAAAATTAGTTCAAAAGTCTAAATATGTATATTTTCCGATAAAGACTCTAGTCGTATGAAGCGTAAAATATTTTGAATCAGGATAAATTTTGAAGCAAAATTACTTGAAAGGATGAAATTAAATTTTTTTGCACATGACACATGACTTGTCATAATTTTCAGGCGTTATGATATTTTCTGTTAGGACATTTTCAGTTCTTAATTTTAGGGCATTTTCTTTAGGATATTTTCTGTAGGACATTTTCTTTAGGATATTATCCGTTAGGACATTTTCTGTTAGGACATTGTCTTTAGGACATTGTGAGGCACCCCGTGACACTGGATATTAAAATCAAGCTGGTGGGTGTAATTAATGATTTTTCATTGATTTTTATGGTTTTAAACCCCATAAGTATAATTTTTAATGAAAACTATTATTAATTAAAGAATTTCAAGAATTTAAAGTATCAGTACAAACAAACAAACAATAATGGACCAATATTTTTACAACATAGATTACAAGAGACACCAAAAAAAAGGATAAATATCTCAGACCTGACAAGCATGGTATTGTCCGTCAAGCTGTGATCAAATTTGAAGGCGTGCACAATCATCACATCTTAAGTGCGGACACACTTCGATTAAATCGAGTAGATCCATCGACTGCCGCTCTGTTCGACAAATATTTTGACGATGGGAGTACAGCTGCTCAAGCAAAGAAACGTCACGAAGACTTACTTATCAGCAATGATGATTTTGTGAATCTTGCTGATGCTAATATTAACCCTACCAAAAGAACTGTCTCCTATTTGTTTGACAAATGGTCAAATAAGCAATTTGGTGTAAAATCTTTAACACCAATTGAAAAGACTCAAGAAAAAATTGCTTCTGGAGATTACATTTCAAGAGGTAGTTTGAAAATTGAATTTTTCCTAAAATGCAATACATTAAAATCTTAAAAACTTTAGATGTTCTTGTTAAGACTTCAATGGAGGATGGCGAGTGGTGCATCCTCATTGTGACACCCTTGATGAAAAGGGTGCAAGAACTGCCGCACTCTGGTGAAACACTCTTCCTTGATTCAACCTCACATGTTGATGTGACTCACTGCACCTTTACATCAATGTGCTCTGCCACAAAAGCTGGTGCAATGCCACTTTGCATTTTGCTGCAAAGCCACCAGACTCAGACTTGCTATGAGATGGCCTTTAACTTGTACAAGAGAGAATGTCCAAAAGGATTTGGTGGCTCTGAGGTAAAACTGAATAGCATTATCCTTAGCATTAACCTCCAATTAATCACAAACATTTTATATTCCCTACCAACAATAAATTCCAATATTTATTAAATTAAAACAGAGTTTAAAAAATCTTACTCAGAGACTACTTCATGATCCAATAATAAAATTTAAAAAAAACATACATTTCTAAATGAAAATGTACTTCATTTTTAGGCGCCTAGTGTCGTAATGACAGATGACAGTTCTGCGGAACGAAAGGCGGTTGAGTCGGTGTGGCCAACAGCACGTAGGTTGCTATGTGTGTTTCACGTACTCTCGGCGGAGTGGAAGTGGCTCCTTTCCAACTGCAATAAAAATGATAGGCAGAAATTAATGAATCTATATTACAAGGTTAATATTTACGTGCAGAAAGTAAAAATATAAATGAATAATCTAATTTTGTGAAATTCATATTATAGGCTGTCTATGCTAACACATTGGAGGAATTTGAAAGTGCTTCGGAGAGCATTTTAGCTCAAAATGAGGCGCATCCTAAGTATGTGAAACGCTTTCAAAAGTTTGCAAAACGAGTGGAAGAGTGGGCTATCTATGCACGAGTTGGTGCTATGAATAGAGGCAATGATACCAACAACTTTGCTGAGACTAGTATTAAAATTGCTAAAGAGGCTGTTATGCAAAGAATGAAAGTAAGAAAGAAAAAAATATTTTCAGATAAATTGTTACATAAAATTGTAAATAAAAAATAGGCTTATAACCCTGTGGCTCTGATCGAGTTTGTTATCGTACCGATGGATGACTATTACAAGAGACGATTGCTTGACCATGCACACAACCGACATTCGGCACATTCACTGGTTTTCGACAAGATGCTTAAGCGAGCTTCGTCCATTGACCCCAACAAGATCATCAAAATTGACGAAAACCTAATACAGCGTGCCAAGTTCAATCTCAGCTGGTAATAAAAATATTGATTTAAAATTATAATTAATTAGAAAATAATCTTCAGTTTAATTCTATAAGGCCCTAATTTCCATATACATAATTCATGACACTAAAATTTATTTGATTTCATAGCATACATATTTGATTTGATTTAATTGAATGAATGTGAAATTTCCAGAGACGTTTTATGAAGTCAGAACAGACAGTGGATTTTGCTCCTGCAAATCTGGGGAGAGGGGAGCTTTTTGTAAGCATATGGCTTTGCTTGTGAAGTATAAAAAGGCAGCAATTCCCTCAGCTCCACCACTCCTCAGTTCTGACCGAAAACTTCTAGCCAAAGTGGCCCTTGGCGACAAAACCCTGCCGACTAGCTTCTACTTAGGGCGAACTGAGGTTGCGTCACCTACTAGCTCTCCACAAAAAGGTTAATAAAATAAAATTAAAATTTTACATCTCATAATTAACTATAATTAAAATGTGATTTAAAACATGTGCAGCATGAATGTATAATTTTTTTTGTTAAAATTATGAAATTATTTTAGGAAATCAATGCAATAGCCATGACGAAGCATCTGATGACAATGAAGATGAGTTTTTTTACAATAATGAGATGGAAGTTGCTACAGAGACAGAGGAAAATGTCTTTGATGAAGCCGACAGGGCCGAAAAGAGGAAGCAGCTGGAGAACGACTTCAGCGACTTCCTCGACTTAGCTTTGGTTAATATTTCACCTGAACTTGTTGAAAAGATGGGAAAGGCACTCCGAAAGCCAAAAACTACTCCAGCTGCTCAAGCTGCTTTGGTGGCTTTTTACAGAGCTGTCAACTCTGTGCTGTCCAAGAAGGGTCGCACTGGTGTTAATCCATCTGGTCGAGCAAGGCGTCGAGTAGGAGTATCCAAGGGAGCAGCTCAAATCGCAAGTGGTCGACCTCCGAAGTCTCAGTCGGATAACAATGGTCCTAAAAAAAGAAAGAGAGATCTCAGTCAGGCTGTCAAGGACAACTGTGCAAATGCAAAATCGCATTAAATAGTCATATGCATCACATGATGTTATTCCTATGTGCTCATTTCCTGATTATCAATAAGATAAATATGAAGTATAAATAAAAAAATTAAAATTTGACGAGTATTTTTCTTTTATTTTAATGTGCTCCTTTTGTATTAAATATATTTAAATATAATTATTCCCTGAATTTAGTTTTAAAGGATGCACAATAAATAATGTATAATTAAGAACAGTGCTTACTTTTTTACTGTGTTGGTGATTTTAAATTCTCAATCAAAACGTCACGTCTTCTTTCACAAAATAAATCTACAAACTTCACTTGTGAGGTCTCCGTTCTCGAAATAACTGAAATTACACATTATCACAACTAACAACGTAATTAAAACACGTGAAATTTGCACTACCTATAGTTAAATCACTTGAAAATAAATTCTAAAAAGTCACAACATAACAATTATATATTTACTCCATTTACCAACTCCAAACAAAGTACACACCCACCACACTCAAGTTCAGCGTGACGCGTGACTACTTGAATCACATCAAAATCCTTTTAAAGAACTAGGATAAAATTGTTTCACTAATACATATTTATATAACATATCATTTCTTATGAAAGCCAGAAATTGTGATTATTATGAAGGAAAATCAAGTATTACTGCTGCAAAAGTAGTGAGCTTGACTCACATGGTGATTGAGGTGAGCGAGATCGAGGCGAAAATTTTGAAAGCGCGGCGGCAAAGCTGATGGGCGGTGCCCTGGTGCCCAACGAGACTGGATTTTGGGAATTCGCCGCCGGGACTTGGCGACCGCTAGAAAAATCGGCCCGAAAACAATCTTCATTTTGGTTTTTCATAAACAAAAATCGGGCCACCGGGATGCGTCACCGGGATACGAGCGGCGGCCGCCGGCGTGTGCTTGCCCATTCTCCACAATAAACCCTGAATTTCAGGTGCGAAGGAAAGGTCTGACAAAGAACGGACGACGAAGTGAAAAAAGTAATTTAAATTGCGGATCGAATGTGCTAGCGCCGTCGTCCTCACTAGGGACAGGAGCCGGGGAAACAGAAAACAGCGTTCGGGGTCCCCGGGGGGCCGCGAATCGGGCGGATTTTGATTTTCACAACATCATAAAAGATATCTGCCTTTAAAGTGATGGGCCCCAGAGGAGATGATGAACTACTCCTTCCAATGAAATAACAAATACAAAATAAATTTCTAAAGACCTACATACCTTTCTTCACAAACGGTTGGAAGGCGCCGGGTTGTATGGCCCTCGGCGCCCTGCACGTGTCCGGCGCCAGGTCGGTTGGACGAGAAGTTGCCGCGGACATCGAACGGGTCTCCTCGGGACACTCAGGAGACCTCTTGCGCACGGCCGGAGAACGTTCTTCCTTTGTAGTCCCACGCATTAATGAAAATAATGAAATATGAATGAGAGTGGTGGCTGGGGACGGTGACCCATGTTGTTGGAATGCCAGGAATGCGAGCAGCGAGCACCGATCTGCATTCCAGACGCGTTTGCGCTGCGGCCTTGATCCAGGCAGCACTCGCTATTGGCGCACGCGAGCCGGCAGCAGAAGGTCAACCGTCAACCAGGAGTGCGGCGTTGCCAATGGCTCGGCCCACTGACGCGCGCCGGCGCATTCAACTCGCCAGCAATGAAACGATTGTGGGCGGCGCCTCCCTATTCCCAATGTGTTAAGCTGGTACAACGTTATCAAACAGAAAACTGATACTCTACTCCTCCTTTCTTCATAATTATCCTGTATTCTATAATACCATCCTTATTCTTAAAGAAAAACAAACACGCCGAGCCGTGCCCCCTTTTAACTATTTAGCCACAGACTGCATTTTGCATACATAATGCGAGGACTGTTTTTTTAGTGCCTACTATGGAAATAAAAATGAAACCAAGCCAGTTTATTTTCATTGTAAATATTTTTTTTTATTTCACAAAGAGACGTTTAATTTTAAATTATAAAAAAATTTGAGAATATCAATAAATAGATTATGAACATTAAAATAAGATTTGTATTTTTAAAATAATTGTATATTAGTAAATTAATTTTAACAAAATCTTTTAGCACATGAATTTTTCCAGGCAAATGATCAAATAGTATCACAACGATAGAATGGGAGGGAAACATTAGGGGACAAAAAACAGTAAATCGCAGTTGTGTGTCATCTTATCACATGGGGAGAGGGGAGTGATGCTTTAAGTCTTTCGGGCCGCACTAAAGGTATTGCTGCTGACGCCTCGGGGTCGGGGGCAGTGCACCTGAAACAAAAATAGCCAAAAATAAGTCTCCAATCACTGATCCACTTTATTTTTGTTAAAAGACTTAAAAGATTGAAAGGGAAAACCCACCTGAGGGCCGCAGGTCTGCATTTTGGTGCGTCCTGAGAGCCGACGGCTTTGTCTCGACCTTCTTGTCGGACGCTTCTGAAAAGGGTACAAGTTTATTTTGAGATTTTAATGAGACATGAATTTTTGTTTGCCTGACCTGAGCCCGAAGGTCTGCCAATGCTGGCGGCCACCGCATCTAGGTCAACTCCCGGCGCCCCGTGCCACGCGTCCAGCTGCTGAGAGTTGGCGTAGATGGGGTCCTTGCATGACGACCCTGAGGCACCCTGGCGCTTTGTTCTCGGCGGCGCCACAGGATGGTTTTCACCTGAGAGGGGGAAGGGAATTAGCTCACTCTTCAATCTCGCAGAGCTTATTACAACCTGAAGGAATTAACGAGGTTCACCAGTAATTTCTTTATCCCTGAATGTCAAATTTCATCACCAACATCAACATTGGATTTGAAAATTTCTCACCCTGGGTTAATCTTTACTCACCAAATGTATTGTTGAATGATCCCAACTTTAATTTTGGTCGTGAAATTTGACATTCTTTCAAATCCAAGTAAAAACCACTTTTGTCCCTCTTTAAAGTTCCTAAAGATTTGATTTTGTAGAACAGAACCCTTGAGCCTACCTGCTGAGCCATTAGTGGCGGCGTATACTGAGTCGGCGGGGGTGAATTCGGAGGTTGTTGGGGGTCCGTAGAGTCTGGCGACAACGTCGCGGGGGTGGGGGGGCCGCGAGCTGAGCGCCTTGGCCTGGGCCAGCTGCTGCAGCTGCTCCTTCTGGCTCAGCTGGATGCGGCCGTACGCCTGCGGCCAGATCTTCTCGTAGTTTTTCGCAGGCCGGTTGTCCTGGTCGACGGCCTTGCGGAAACTGCTGCGCCGCTCGCGCACCCCCAGCCCGCTCACGATTGTGTCCACCTTGCGCTGCACCTCAATGGATAGCGCCTCAAAATCATTGGACACCTCCTGCTAAAGCAAAATTACTCAAAATCAAACTTTCCTCAAATTTTTAAATGAAAGGGTTGATCGAAAACTTGGGAAAATTTGAAATACTTTATTTTGAAACAAAAAATGCAAGTTTATTTGTTGCTTGAAAATCTTGTCTTAAATGCATGCATGGGTCAAGTGAAATTCATACTTTGTTTTGCCTGTAACTATCTAACGTAGAGACAAATGATATGAGAGGCATGCCAGTGTTTGAAATTTGAATTCACAATTGCAAAGTATTTCAGTTTTGCGACATTTTATAATGGATTCAAATCTTAAGCTGCATTTTGTAAGCCTGTTATAAAAACTACTTTTAAAAATCCAAGGGAATTGTTTTATGAGCAAAATAGTGAAGATCGCATTTAAATAATGATAAAAAAGGCCCATTTAAATGATCGATCGATCCAATTGGTCCGAACGGTTCCCCCACCACCAAACTCATATCAACTTTAAAACACAAAGTGTGGCAATCTTAGAAAAAGCCAGAGCATAAGGAATGGTTTGGCCGCCGAAATTTTAAGGTCAAAGGCCACGGAATGCAAAAAAAAGTCAGAACTGTTCTTTACCTGCTGAAGATGGCCATTTATGGGCAACACCCTGAGGGCGCCGCCCTGCCAGTGATTGAGGTCAGTGACATTGACGTAGTCGTTCGGCCTGCCCGTCGACATGACCTCCGATTTGCTCCTGGTCAGGGTCAGGTGTTCAGGTTGGCTGGTCGGCTTCAGGATGGACTTGATGGGTGGCCTGGGCGCGTCCACCCTGTCCTCCGCGTCGTCCCCGCCTATGAGAAATTGCAGCTGCCTCTTGAGGTCAGGCTTGGCGTCCTCAGGGGCCGGACCAGGGCCTCCAGACGGCCGCTCGCCGACCACTTTCATCGATTTGCTTCGCGCAATCGGCGTCTTTTTCTTCTCAGTCTTATTTGTAAAAATGCGTTTGTAGATGGCGACGGGGGTGTCGCCCTGTGCCAGCCGCCTAACCGCTCCCAACGAGTGGCTCCGTGTCACCTGAGGTCAAAATCAGGTTTGCTCAAAAATCCCAATCAGTGTAAATTTTAAGTGCACAAAATTGAAAGGAACTTTCTATAATAAGAAAGAGAAAAAAAGCAGAGACAGACCTGCTGCTTGGGTCTGGGCGTGTCTGGTTTGGTGGGCGAGTTCCGTTCGAAGAGAGCCTTCAGCTTAGATATTCGGGGTTTGTGGAGCTTGGCCGAGGGGTGGGCGTGGTTGCTGATGAAGACAGGGTCCTGTTGCAGGGTGCTCGTCGAGTCAGTGGTCGAGGAAGACGCGCTCAGGCCGCTGTCCACCGGCCGGAGGTCCTCCGCCTCCGTCCAGGCGCCCCCGGTGATCGCCTCCACCTCGCGGTCGCTCCGCAAAACCCCCGGGGGCGGCAGGGGCGTGCCCTCATCCACCTTCACAACACTCATTTCTACAACAAAAGTTGAAGCACTGAAAGGTCATGCAAGTAGTCTGCAAAAGAGGTTAGAATTTTCTCGAAAGGAGGTATATAGGAAAAGTCCATTCGGACTTTCTGTAGTAACAATTTCAAATGATCTTGACCTTCAGAATGACATGACAAGGTCAATCGCTATAATCGCAGTCAAATTTGACCCTGAATCAAGGCCAAGACCAAAATGCTGCTGGTCGTTTGACCTTGCCAGAGTCATGGCCTGGACCAAAGGAGATTAGTTTCACGGTGGGCAGTTGGAGCAAATTTGATTTTGCTCAATTACATACCTGCCAAGTGGGAGACCCTTTCGTAAAGGTGCTCCTCCCTAGCGATGGGGAGGCCGTGCAGGTCGACGTTCTCGTAGGGGTGCGCGTCGATCATGCGTAGCTGCTCCTGGAACAACTCGCGGACTGCCCGGTGCACCAGAACATACTGGTCCTTGGTCTGCACCATCGCGATTCGCTGCTTGCGCATGTCGCGCACCAGTTTGAACAAACTGAAGTCAGCCGTCAGTTTCTGCAATCATCATTTTTCTTTTTTCAATTACGATGGAACCAACAACAATTTCATAAGCAACTAATTGACAGAAGGTTCCGATAGGTGAACCTGAGACTGCAGTCAAAATTTCAAACTTTGGACATTTCAAATTCTTTAATAGAATTTTAAACATTTGTTATTTTTTTATTCCCAATAAATAAATAAAAATCTATAAAATTTGGAGCATTAAAATTTCTTCCCCATCAATAGAGCAATCCAATAAAAAAACGAAAACTACTGTATTGTTGATATGGTTTTTGAAAATTAAAGATAAATTGGTTGCTCTCTTGGGCAAAATTAAGTTTGAAACATGGAAAAGCAAAAGGACTGACGCCAGCGCGGAGGAGGCCCCAGACATAGTCGATGGCGCAAATGGTGCCAGTCCGACCACAGCCGGCAGAGCAGTGCACCAGGACAGGCAGCGTCTCCGAGGCCTGGGTGTCCCGAACGAGCCGCACCATGTCCAGTAAAGGACGCACCAGTGGAGGCACGCCATGGTCTGGCCACGCCGAATAGTGGAATTGACATACGGTCCGCTCTGGAAATACAAAAATTTTAATTTCCATTAAAAAGTCAAAGAATCTATACTTCCAAAAATAATTCTTTGCAAAGAGAACCGGATTGAATTTTCCAGGTTCAGCAAAAGGACATCAAACAAGGACAGTTTAAACCAAATAATCATTTAACAGACAATTTATTTATATCAAGATAACCTTTTCCTGCTTCAATTTGACCCTTAAATGAAAAAAGGCAACTTCAAAGTTAAAATTGTATAACTTCATGCCAAAAGCTTGGTTTGATTAAAATTTACTAATTTCGTAGACCTTTTGAGAAAAAAATGAAAATATTTTTATATGAACTTTTGGATTATTTTCCTTTTTTGAGTTTAAAATTCAGGTTCTTTTTATTAAATGGTTTGATATGTCAGAACATGCAGAGTTTGGAGCAAAATTTGATCCCCAATTGTTTGAAAAAATCCTTTTTGACTTCTTAGTTTTCAATTAAACCTGCTTTAACCTTTATCACTAAATTCTGGTTAAAAACTTTTAACAAACTGAGCGTTTGAATCATCACAAATACAGTTTTTTAATGAGAAGACTGACCGACTAAGATCTGTTTCTTGCGGTAGGTGAGCAGCATGGTGCGCACGAGGAAGTCGGGGCTGACGACGCTGGCCTTGAGCAGCCGGATTGTGGCCAGACCCAACTTTTTCTCCTCACCCTCTCGGTCCACCCAGTAATTCTCACACTTGTGCTGCAAAAGCAGAAGGATGTTAGTTGAAAAAGCAGTTCTAATTCCAGATAATTTTGAATTTCGGAGAAACAAATTTCTTTCATTCTTGAAAAAAAAAATTTAAAATGAACAAGTTTCAGTTTGGATTCAAAAAGAATTTCAATTCCTTCTGCCCACTACAAAATGAGTAAAGTAAGAAAGATTTATCTTTTTGCCGTATGAAGTTGGTTTTCATTTATAAAAAATATATGGAAATTTTTCAAAATTCCTTCATTACAAAGTGAAGTTTCTCCAATTATTATTATAAAAATGCTCATTTTGAAGTCAAAATTTCAATAAAAAAAGAGCACGTTCACATATGCTTATAAACTTTGGAATTGTACTTTTCCGGATTCTTCCTCGTTGCAGGCCATGACGATGACCTGTACCTCGCACTCGATGACCATCCGCCAAAAGTCGCTGGCCGTGTTTGGCAGGGGGCCCTGGCTGGCAATGTAGGCCAGCGAGCCACTGGCGCCCTTGATGAAGTTGGCGTTGACATAGTCGCTGCCGGGCACGGCAGCCACGCTCGACAAAATCACTCTCGTGTAGTCGACTGCAAAACGAAAAATGAGTAAGGACGCGTGAAAGGAGGAATTGGTGGAAAACAAACAGGGGAGGATGTCCTTGTAGCGGTTCTTCTTGCGGTTGACATCCTTTTCGCCCTCGGAGCTGCAGAAGTGTGGCACCGACTTGAGGTTTTCGCTGAACAACTTCAGACTCTGCGAAAGTGGTGAAATTAGAAACGGGTGGTCGGCGAGTTAGGAAAGGGACGGACCTGGAACTCCTTTTCGTAGCTGTCGTCGTCGCAGCGGTCGAGGTTCTCGACGTGGTTCAGGAAGTTGGTCAGGATGGTCCTGAGCGGTAGGTGTTGGTCGCCTCTCATCACAAAGGCACATGCTCGAACCCGACGACTCCCTGCATTGCACCCCCGAGAGTAGAACCCTCGATTCGGCCGAGCGTCCGGTCGTCGACAAACAAGGCAAACAACGCAGAACGCCCAACCAACAAGTTAAGGTTTGGTGTATGGTTGGCGAGGCTTCGAGTAGAGGGCAGCCGAGGCCTTGAAAGGGTTCGATTGGAATGTGGTGCGCCGCAAAAGCTGCGCGAAGCACACTTTTTGCGCTGCCAACGTGATGGAAACACCACTCGCCTCATTCGCCTTGGTTATCGCCAGGAAGAACGCTCTTCTCTCTGTGAACCGAATTCGACTCTTGATTTGCATTTAATCTATCAGTTCAAATCTAAATCGGCGGCCCAAGAACGGAATCGGCGGTCGACGCGGGAAGATTTTCAGCTCTGACAAGATGGCGGCAGTGGGCGTGGCTCCGCGTCGCCCCCACTCGAATCGGCACCAAACTGAAAACACACGGCAGGCAGGCAAGGCTTTACGTTCGGCAAAGCGAGTTTGTTTGTTTGGTCGGCATCGGGCGCCGAAATGCAGTAGGCGACATGTCGAGCTTCAAGTGGACGCGGGTGTTGAACCCGACGGGGCCGACCCCCAAGCCCCGCCACGGCCACCGCGCCGTGGCCATCAAGGACCTGATGGTCGTCTTTGGTGGCGGCAACGAAGGCATCGTAGACGAGCTGCACGTCTTCAACACCGGTAAAACATCTTCACTTGATTTCCGCGCCCGTCCCTAATCTCAATTAATTTTGCCATTATTTTTATTCATTTTTTGTTGGGCAGATTTGATTTTAATGGCTGAATTTTGGAAGGCTGCATTTGGTTGCAGCGCTAGATTTTTTTATTTGCCACCGTCAGTGTGGTTTTTATTCAAAATCAAAAATCGGCCGGCGAAAATGTTTGCCGGGATCAATCTGGTCGGCTTGCTTTGCGCCACCTCTCGGTAGTCTCGGTCTGAGCGGCGCAGACGCGGCCCCGCGACTCGGCGGGAGCGTCCCACCCGCACTCGCAGTTTTTACCAAAGCACGAGAAACAATAATTGCTTTCTATAAATTGGCAGGTCGCGAAGAGGCGCTGACCTTGTGACCTCCGTGTAAATAAAAATTTTCCGATTAAGATCCTCTGAAAAAGGCACCTTCAAGCGATAAATTATTTCTTACGGCTTAGTTTTCTTGATCGTAAGATAACCATAACCTTCAGGGTGGCCAATAGATTCACCGTGACCTGACCTTTCCATCGACGTGTCACACTTGGTACTTTCAAGCTAATTTGAATTTGGTGGTGGGGGAACCTGTCGGACCAATCAGATTGCTCTATTGCAAATTTGCCGGGACCTCATTATAGCGATCAGCATTGCATGACCTTGTAATGTTATTCTTATGATCAAGGTCAACGTCAAATGGTGCTATAATGAGGTCCCCGTTTTCTCCGCCAATCTGACGGTAACCTTGACCTTTGAAGCCACCAATTGACTCCTCTTGACCTGACCCTTTTATTGGCGCATTACTTTGGCAAGCGTGCCAACTTAAATTCATTTAAAATGACAATTTTTTCAAAATTAAGCTCAACAATGTGAAATTATGATGTGTTTTTCTTTTGTTGCAGCCAATAACCAGTGGTTCATCCCTGCGGTGAAGGGCGAGGTGCCGCCAGGGTGCGCGGCGTACGGCTTTGTTGTGGACGGCACGCGCATTTTGGTGTTCGGCGGAATGGTCGAGTACGGCAAGTACTCCAACGACCTTTACGAGCTGCAGGTCAGTCCCTTCAACCAGGCTCTCCTTATTTTTCAAAGCAATTCTTTCAACAGGAAGAATTTGGATAAAAAAAGGATCTTTATTAATTCAAAAGTGGTTTAGAAAATGGAATGTGCTGACCTGTGAGGGTTATTTGTTTGCAGGCGAGCAGGTGGGAGTGGAAGAAGCTGAAGCCGCGCGCGCCCAAGAACGGGGTGCTGCCGTGCCCGCGGCTCGGCCACAGCTTCACCCTGATCGGCAACAAGGTCTTCCTCTTTGGAGGACTGGCCAACGACAGTGACGACCCCAAGAATAACATTCCCAGGTACCTAAAATTACATCATCCATTCGCGTTTCTCATTAAAAATTAAAATTCTGCTCTGCTGGTTTTTCTGAGACCTAAGTTCATGGTGACCTTTTGTTATTTCCAACATTGATATTTTTTATTAAATTTAATAATTTTTATTTTAATTAAACAACTTTATTATTACTTATTCTTCTATTTCCGTGTTCAAAGGTCAAGGTTCGCCTTTTTCTCAGGGTCTTCATTTAATTGGTAAAACCTGATGTCCCAGTCCTTCCAATGCAAAAAATAGCTTTGTACATTAATTATTGCCACCTGATAAGTGACTTAGAGGGTGCGCGTAACCTTGGAAGACCTTAAGAGTTGTTGGGTGTCAAAATGCATGTTTTTCGGCACGGCGGTCCCGAATTTGGCCTCAAATTGTCGTTAGGAAGCACTTAAGTCGAGAAATCTAAGGAGGGAGTGGAATTTTGAGCGTTTGCACGGTTTTTGTTGAAGGTACCTGAACGACCTGTTCACGCTGGAGCTGCGGAGCAATTCTGCGGTGGCGTGGGAGGCGCCGACCACCTTCGGGCAGTCGCCGCCACCGCGCGAGTCGCACACGGGCGTCGCCTACTCGGACCTCAAGTCCGGCAAGTCCAGCCTTGTCGTCTATGGCGGCATGAGCGGCTGCCGCCTCGGAGACCTCTGGTTCCTTGACGTCGGTGCGTTTTCCATTCAATAATTATTCTTTTTAAATTTCTACAGAAAAATTTGCTAATTAGAAATTTTTTTGTCTTGTTTTTATTTGGCTGAAAATCTTTTCCTTGTAATTGGATTTTCTTCAAATTTGCTAATTTATTCTTCAAATGATTTGCAGACACAATGACCTGGAGCAAGCCGGAGGTCTCTGGGATTCCTCCATTGCCGAGGTCACTGCACAGCGCCACCCTGATCGGAAAACGCATGCTTGTGTTCGGGGGTTGGGTGCCCCTGGTCATGGACGACCCCAAACTGCCCGCCACCCACGAGAAGGAGTGGAAGTGCACTAACACCCTGGCCAGCCTCGATTTGGGTAAAAAACTCTTCTTTTTTTATTATTATTCAAAAATTTTAATTTATCAACTTCATTTGAGGATAGCTCGAAAATTTGATGTAAAAAAGATTGTAAACTGGAATTAATGGATGGTTTGGCGTTGCAGAGAAGATGGCGTGGGAGCAGCTGAACATGGACGTGTTTGAGGAGAACGCGCCCCGAGCCAGGGCAGGTCACTGCGCTGTCGGCATCCACTCGCGCCTCTACGCCTGGTCCGGCCGCGATGGCTACAGAAAGGTCCGAGCTAAACTCTTTTCAAGTCCCTGTTATTGACTCTAAATATATTTCCCCTAAAACTTCTAGATTTTCCTTAAATTTAGAACCGTTAAAAGCATTCATCCTATTTTTATTATTTCAATGTTAGTTTCCTTAAAATATTTGCCATTAAATTTGATTTCAAAACTGAAATTCAATTCAAACTTGAATTAATAATTGAAGCAAAAAATCTTCTTAAATCAGGATGGGGCGACTTGATTGGTCTTGCTAGTTCTTGATGCAAAAAGTAGCTAGTTATTTGCTCTCTTTTATGGCGCCTATTATGAACTGAGGATAAATTACACATTTAAATGAAATTCTTTAAATTTATAGATCAAAATAAATCACTCTAATTGGATGCTTGTTTGGAACCATTTATACCAGGCAACAATCACAAAGCATCTGACATAAGCATCTAAATTTTAGTCTGTCAGTTTTATGCCATTTATTTGACGTGCACATTAAAAATTTTAATTATATAATTAAGACTTGTCTATTAATTTATTTCGTATGCGTCCTTCCTCACCAAATTAAATAGTTAAAATTTGATTGCATTCATGGGGCGGAAATTAATATGTTAAGAGGAAATGAAATACTTTTTGAACCTGAAAAGGAGAAATGTTTTTAGGGACACCAAGGGACTCCTCTTTTTTCTCGTGAGAAAGATTTTCTGATTGGCTGTTTTGTTCTGCAGATTTGCTGCAAAGACCTTTGGTACCTGGAGGTGGAGAAGCCGCCGGCGCCAGGGCGGGTGCAGCTGGTACGCGCGTCGACGACCTCGCTAGAGGTGTGCTGGTCGCCCGCCCCCTCCACCGACTTCTACCGCCTCCAGGCCCAGAAGTACGACATGCCCCAGGAGAAACCAACCCCCGAAAAACCACCCCCACCTGCCGCCACGCCCACCACCCCTGATCTAAAAGGTAAATCACCCTTCTGCTCGGTCCGAGTCAAACTGCAGGTCAGTAGGTCGCTCAGCTGACTTCAAATAAGTTTTTTAACCAAATTTATAACGACCAACAAAATACGAAATTTAATTTTTTTGTTGATTTTGAATACTTGTGATTCAAATTTGGGGTTGGGGTTTCAATCAACTTTGACTTGAAACCTTTGGTGTCACTGCTCTCAATGACCTCTGACCTTGCAAATTTAGAGTTGGTTGAGTTTTTTAACTTGGAATTGGAACTGTAAAACTGATCAGACACAACAGAAGTTTCAGAATCTCCGACGACGGCCGCACAGAACATGTCAGGCATCCAAGCATTGGCCGCAGCGGCTGCAGCCACCCAGAAAATCCCAGGCGTCCTCCGCCTTGTCCCCTCCAACGCCACTCCCCCAAAAACTCTAGGTTCGCTTTTCAATAAAGTGATTATTTAGACATTTTTTCTTGAAAGTTGCAATCAAAATTGATAATTGTCAAAATTAAATTTAATTGCAGTGGCAGTCGGTGGTGCTGCTGAAGCCGCAGCAACGAAGGCGAGTCCACAGACGATCAAAATTGTGCCCCCGGCCGGAGGGACTGTTCTGAAGGCGGCCACCAACCAGGCGGGCAAACCTGTCATAATAAGCAAACCGCAGGGAGGAGGCCCTGGCCAAATCGTCACCCTGGTCAAGACTAGCCAGGGCATGACTGTTGCTCAGGTTTGATTTTTTCCTCCAATCTTATTGAGATTTCACAGGAGGATATTTTCTAATTCCCAAAAGCAATTTCACTGCAAATTTTTGGTCACAACTTGATCTTTTTAATGATGTGCTGCACAATTTGTGTGCAAAAGCCAATTTTGAACAGTGGTAGGGGTCGATTTAAAGCGTTTGATTCCTGCAATCTCGATTGATGGATGGGATCATTTGCGGGCTTAATTTTTTTATCAATTGTTTAATTAATAAAAGATAGAGCCCACAACTGTCAAAACAGTGATGGGAGGATTTTGACGACTGGCCAAAGAATATTTTGGTTCAAACGCGATTTCCCGCAGATTAAAGATTCGACGCGCTTAACTTTATCCTATCAGTCTCATATTTATTCCATTCGACTTGACCTTTCCAGCGATGCAAGTTGGATCTCATTAAAATTTGATGGTAGAGGAACCAGTTGGACCAATAAGAACGCTAGATTCCTAAAATTGCCGTTTCCTTTACAAAACTGAAGTTGGCCTTGCACTCTTAGGTCACCAATCGCTTTCTCCTTACCGCAACTTTTCAATCAGTGCTTTCTCTATATATGTGCACCAACTTAATATACATATTTATCCTCCAAAACTAATCACAAGTAATTGAAGTGATAAAGCTGAATTTTGTTCACAAATTTTAAATTGGCAACCTAATATTTAGACGCACCACTCTTTATCCTCGTGTTGATTCCCGTCTAATTGCACGCTTGAACAACAAAAATTTGTTTATAAAATCTAGTTTGAAGTGGCGTAACAATTGTGAAACGAAACAATGAATCTGTTGTGTGGTTTTTGCAGCTGCCGAAGATGAGTCTAATCCAGAGCAAGGGCGGCGGAGCGGGGGGAGTGGCGCAGGGGAAGGGGATCCCGCAAGGCGCCACCATCGTCAAGTTGGTGAACGCGGCGGGAGGGCTGGGGGGCAAGCAGACGATCATGATTGCCAAGCCGGGAGGGGGGCCGGGGGCGGCCAACCTGACGACGGCCAGCGGCCAGCGTCTCATCATGGTCACGTCAGGCACCACCCTGCGGACGGTGCAGGGCGCCGGCACCACCACCACCGCCCCCTCCGCCCCCGGCCAGATGAAGATGATCATGCTGCAGCGGCCGGCGCAGGCGGCCACCACGCTGGCCGCCGCCACCTCCGTCACCACGGCCAACGCCAAGCCCGTCGCCGCCACCCTCAAAACGTCCGACTCGGGCGTCGTCACCACCCAGGTCAGTCCCCAGAACAAGCGCCTTTGCACATACCAAACTTTTAATTCAAAATCATCCCCTGAAAGTATTGACACCACAGCTACAGCTTCAATCTTGCTACCCGCTATTAAGATTGTATAACTTTGACATTTTCATATAAATAAATGTTCAAGAGAATAAACTTTTGTGAAACAAACCCCTAAATTTTGCATTAGGGGTAGTTTTCAGGACAATGTTTGACTTCAGCTCAGTTTTGATCCACACTAAAAAAAAAAGTCTTTCTGAGAAAACATCCTCTCTTAATTTAGTAACAAATGTAGCTTTTCTTAAGGCTACTTTTCCTGCTTCTTTTGTGAAGAGTCTTGAAACACTGTCGCAGAAATCACAAGTTTACTACAGATTTGGAAACAAATGTTGCATTTCAAGTTATCCGTTGCTAAAGTGGTAAAATATTAAATCACACAATTCACCATTTGTTTAATTAAATGGCAGCAAATAATCGTTTTGAGATTAGAAACTTTGATTTGGTTGGGTATGCAATTTCAATAGGATTGAAAAGATACAATTGCTCTAAAATAGTTCTGCCATTAGAAATATTAGAAACAATGAGGGCGATCCAAAAGCCTAACCTGGCCCAGGCTAACTTGACTTAGCCCACCAGCAAAATTGAATGGCGGGTTAAATTAGCCTGGGCCAGGTTAATTTAGCCTGGGCCAAGTTAGCCTTTTGGATCGCCCTCAATGTTATCCAATTATGCAAAAAATGGTCAATTGAACATTAAAGAATGAAGACAAGGTTTTGCATCTAAGGACTCATTTTGCATCCCCACAAAACTGAAGTTTTATCTAAAGATGTATGATACTTACTTAAAAAGGTCTTGTTGAGAGGATAATTTTGGTCACCAATTTTTGGTCTGTACCTCAACCACAAACCGAATAATTGTGTTTTTCTTAAATTCAATGCACAATTTTTAGCACAATTCATTGTAAAATTATGATTAATCTGTTTGTGGTTGAGGTACAGACCAAAAATTGGTGACCAAAATTATCCTCTCGTGGAGACTTTTTTAAGTAAGTATCACACATCTAGGTCAGGTGACCTCAGGCCACCTACCCGGGTGACCTTTGACCCGAAGGTCACCAAAGGCCATCAATATATACATCATTCGATTTGGCTTGACGTGGGAATTAACTTTGGTCATTATCTTTTTTTACCTAAAATGATCAGGGATGACGATAAAGGCGATCATAATGTAGACCCTGCCTGCGGAGGCACTAAAAACCACGCTTTTTTCTTTTTTAAATTTATCAAAGAAAAGCGTCACTCCAATTTCGACATATTTTACGTAAAACTTCATGAGGAATCGAATGGCTATATCAAAATTTTTTAAAACGTGCGGCCCATTTTCAAATTTGAGTTGAAAATTTTGAGGTCATGAAAAATGACCTTGAATTTTGACCTGCGACTTTTTACTCAGCCATAAAGTTGTAGAGCTCGTCAAGATAAGTTCAACCATGCCCGGATTTTTCTTCTACAATCAATAGAACCCGAGAAAATTAGGTTTTCTAATTTTTTTCAAAATGTCCCATAAAACCCGCAATTTTGGAAATTTTTTCAAAAAAATATAGGGGTGTTGCTTCTAAGTCATGGTTGTTATGCTGTGAAAATCTCAATAGGCTACCTTCAAATTGGGCATGCGGTGCAAAAACAGAAAGAATAGCATTAATTTATTTATTCTCCAATCAATTCAGTTGATCAAAACTTCCTCTAGATTTGTATCACTTTCTCAAGAAGTTTGAATCAATTTCTAATGTTTTTATAATCTATTTTCTGGCTAATTAGCGTTTCTTATGCTGCAGTTTAATTATTAGAAATGACACGGTTGCCCAACTTAGGAAGTGAATTGAAAGTTTGTTTTCATTTTGAAGGAGCAATTTTGAGACTAGAAAAGTATTCTGACCCTGATTCCGCAATTCCAAAGCCGAGTTGCAACAAAGTCTAATGTGCGTTTTGCACCCCCTTGAATTCCAGGGCTTCATAGGGGGCAAGCAGGTGACCCTGCAGATCAACAAGTCGGGTGGCTCGACTCTTCCCAAGACTTTGACCCTGGTGCCCAGTGCCGACGGCAAGCAGGTTGTGACCTCTGCCCTCAAGGTGGTGCCGACGACGGCGGCCGCCTCCACGGCCAAACAACCACCCCCGTCCATCACTCACAGTAAGGGTCAAATGATGCTTTCCACCCGCCAGTTAAAACTTGGCTACTTGAATAAAAGTGGATCAAGGTTTTATTGTATCAGAACTTAATTTTAGCTTTTTAACTTTTAAACAAAAAAAGAAAGCGCTTATTTTGCGGTCTCTTTTAATGATTCTTGTTTTCTTCAGAGAATTCATGATGTTCCAATTACCTACGCACACTGAATTTTAGTTCTGTGGTTCTACTTCAATAGAACTAATTTAAAATTTGAAATATATCAGTTGAATCCAGTTTTAATTTTGTGTGGGCCAATCTGAAACTTTTGATTCACTAAGAAACATAAAACCTTTTTTCATTTTTAATTTTGGAATCCGCAACAATTGTAATGAAAAGTTTGTAGATTATGGAATTTTTGCAGCAAACCCGATCGACGGGCCGGTGACAACGGACGCGGCTTTGGCCGCACTGGCGGCCGAGGCGGGGTTGCTGGACCCCGTCGAAGAAAAGGCCGCCTCCGCCGCCTCCAAGGAGGTTGACAAGGATGAGGGTGAAAAAGAGGAGGCGGAGGAAAAGAGAGAAGAGGTCAAGGTCAAGGAGGAGGTCAAGGATGCCGAAGAGGCTTTGGCCACGCTGGCCTCGGCGGCCGTCAGCTCAGCCAATGGCGTGGTCAAGGCGGAACCAGAGGAAGCTGCCGGAAAGGGGGAGGAGGTGCCCCCGGAGGCGGGGCCACCCTTGGAGGGCCGGAAGGAGGCGGCTTGGTTCGATGTGTGCGTGACCAAGGGCACGTCGACCTTGGTGCAGCAGTACGGCCTGCCAGAGGTCGAACCCAAGCTGGACGAGCAGACCGGCGAGGTGCCCAACTTGACCCTCGGCCCCACCAAGTTCGACCTTCAGCCAGGCACCGCCTACAAGTTCAGGGTCGCCGCCGTCAACTCGTGCGGACAGGGCGCCTGGAGCGAGGTTAGAACCTTTCTTTTTATAAAATTCCAGTCTGGACTTATTCAGGGTCCTGAATTTGGCCCTTTTTATTTAAAATCGCCAATGATTTTGATGCAGTTTGGCAGTTTTTTTGTAAATGAAAAATAACCTGGCTCTTTTTATTCTAATGATCAAAGTTTTCGGGATTGAATCGCTCTTTGGGATCTGAACTTTTATATCTGCCGTCACATTTTTTAAAAGTGAGAAGGGGTTATTGTTTGTACTGAATCAAATGATCATTTTCTGGATTTTCTAATTGTTTTGTTTGAATTGAGATTTTTATGGAGCATAAAACTCTTACTTAAACATGGACTTGTTTCAAACTTAAAATCGCACTGGTAACCTTTGACCCTGCCTCAATGATTTTGAAAAGAGGAAACCTTTCTTGTGCTTTCCTTAAGGACAAAAGCAAAACCTATTTGAATTTCACCTTGAAAGTGACTAAAAAACTTTAAAATTGTTCTCAAATTTGTCAAGTTTCATCAAAATTTGTCAACTTGTTTGCTTCAAATAATAGAAATGTGCATTGTCAATCTGCACAATTATTGAAGACTGAAGTGAATGATTTCTGTGATTAGGTGTCTGCATTCAAGACGTGTCTGCCAGGGTTCCCGGGGGCGCCGTCGGCCATCAAGATCTCCAAGTCGGGCGAGGGCGCGCACCTCTCGTGGGAACCGCCGCAGGCCAGTTCGGGCGGCGAAATCGGCGAGTACTCGGTGTACCTGGCCGTCAGGAGTGCCAACCAGAAGCAGGAGCAGGTTCAAAATTGGGGCAAGCCACCTTTGCCAGGGTCAACCACCATGTTTCAGGGCCACAGATCCTGTCAAGACGTTTCCAAACATAGTTTAAATGCCCTCCACGTCTCCACATTTGCAAATTATCATTTTGAAATTTTAAATCTAACATAAATGATCCTCTTTTCAATTGAAAAAGTTCAAAGGTCTGCAGGGACGATGAACTTTTTGACCTGGTCAGAGTGTTTTGATCAGGAACTTTTCCCTTTTCGGAAACCTGAACATAGATACAAAGGGTTGACCCAGGCAAAGGTGAATAGGATGAAGGGCAGAAGGTTGAAGGGTCGGGTTGCAGGTGGAGAAGGCGCAGCTGGCGTTTGTGCGGGTTTACTGCGGCGCGAGCAACCAGTGCACGGTGCCCAACTCGTCGCTGGCGGCCGCTCACATCGACACCACCACCAAGCCGGCCATCATCTTCCGCATCGCCGCCAAGAACCAAAAGGGCTACGGCCCTGCCACCCAAGTCAGGTGGATCCAGGGTACGTCCAATTTTATCTCTCCATCCTTCTTTTTTACATCTTTGCTCAGAAATTATTGATGACATTTTAAGGCCTCCTTATTGGCATAGTCAAATCAAGTCATCACATTAATCAATTATTGGAAATTTTAATCACCATTGTTGATTTGACTATGTCAATAAGGATTCATATAAGTAACAAATTGAGCTGCATTTTCAATTTTTATTTTTTTCTCACCTCAAACTGTTCGTTTTGTGCAAAGCTGATGTTCGAGGGAATGCTTTCCTTTCAATTGGAAAATTTTATTAGCCAAACTGAAAGGTGAGGTCATGGTGGATCGATCGGTGACCAAAAAGGTTAAATGTTTCTGTATAGGTTCTTGAAGTTGTTGTTGTGGAACCTTTTGGCACTCGAGGTGGTCATATTTGTTGAAATAAAATCCGGCTTCCTCGGTGGAGATGAGCAACTTTATTGTTTCTGCATGGTACAGAAACAATAAAGTTGCTCATCTCCACCGAGGAAGCCGGATTTTATTTCAACAAGATTAAATGTTTTTTGAAAAACTTTTAAATCAAGCGATCTGATTGGTATGTTAGGTTCTTCCACCACCAAATTCAAATAAACTCAAGTATGCCATGACCGACACGTACCAAATCGATTGGTGACCAAAAGGTCAAGGTCAGCAGGAATTTTTCTTTTAATAACAGACTTGGCCACTGTAACTTTTAAAAAAAAAACCTTTGAATTTTGTTGCAGAGGTGAGTGTGGCGGCGGCGGCGAAAGGTCAGGCAGGGGTCAAGAGGCAGGCGGAGGCCAAGGCAGTGTACGCGGCGGGCGCCAAGAAGCCCAAGAGCGAAGAGCCCCTCTGAGGCCCCCAGTGCCCCAATCCCCTCCACAAACTGTCTGTTCTTCGCAATTCATCTTAAAATTTCTGTACAAATCGACCAACAGCTGAAAAATATAAAAACGAACTATATTTATCTCTAGCTTTTAACAAACACAACATTTAGTGCAAATTGAAAAACGCTTCTATTGACCCAAATTTTGATCGAATGGACCTGTCGAGGTGTCGCGGAATTCATTTTGGTTTTTCCGTTACTTTTCGTGTAGCTGCTGAAGTGAAGTTTTTACTCCCAGGTCGCAACTTTTCATCAATAAAGTTAATCTTTATTTTCAGCACTCAAAACATGCCTTTTTTCTGATTGTTATGTTATCAAATTTTTCTTTTGAAGAGAGAAATTGCAATTTGATTTCCAGTAGCCATTTCTAATAATCAAGTTTGACAAGCACAAAATGTTTTGTTGCGGAAATTTTTTGTTTCTCTTTTATTCAAAATTTTACAAGAAGGTGGTTCAAATGCAAAGTCAAGCATTTCATTGCAAGTTTATAACCAATTTATTTTCATTCCTGGCCAAAAATCGAGAGTGATCCTAATAGCATCATTAATCATTACTGCACATAAAGATTGTATTAACATGTTTAAATGGAAGTTAGAACACAAGTTGCTGTCAAAATTACTAGGTTTGGTGCTTCGATGTGTGGTTTTCCATATAAGTAGCCAGAATTTTGAAGGAACAAATTGTTATCTTCCACACCATGCTTTCAAAAAAATTTCAAATCACTACTATTCCATTACAAACACACTAAAATGACCTGCCAACTTTGGATTTCAAGGCATTACAACAATGACAATGAAATTATAAACAGCTGAGAAGCCTTCTCCGGACATAAATTTGCGGTAATTTATTTTAAAGGAGATGCAAAACAACTATTTAAAAAATAATGCTTCTACAAACCACAGTAATTTAAGCGAAAAGTGATGAGCGCATCTGTGGTCGACCACAGATGCACATCAAATAATCTGTTTCCAAAGCTCAGGCCTGGCCATGCGTTGCATGTTCACTGTCATTTCGCATGGGCTCCTTCACTCTTTTTCAACGACCTGATGGTTAAAAAAATATATTTAGATTCGATGATATGTAAATTGTAAATGCAATTATGGTTCAATTTGTAATGCATACGTGCCTATCTGCATACGGCAGCCTTGACCAGCGCGCAAGTTGAAGAGAGAGGAAGGTCAATCTTGCTTCGGAAACTTCAAGCTTTTATCAGTGTGTCCATGAGTAAGAACGATCGAACACTTGGCCTAAAGAGAAAAGAGTTTTTTTGTGTTAAAAGTGTCATGGGGAAATAATAATGCGACTTGTGCAGAACGCACTCACGGCCATGCAGGGGCTAGACTTGGTGATGGAAAACCACCGGAAGCCCTTCCTCTAAGAGAAAGCGTTGCAAATGACGGCCCTCGACACGGTGCGAACAAACGGGTAGGTTCGGCTTAACCCAGGATACCCAGGTCCAGTGGGACTTGCACGTCTTGGACTCAGCACTCAGCCGGTTTGTTTTCAAAACACAAAAGCCTCTGATGCGCGCTGATTGGTTCGAAAAAGTCATGTGGCCCCATCACTCCCACCGATTCGAATTCGCTTGCCAAAGCGATGCGCCGAGCAGACTTTTTTCTATCCGTTTTAACTTTTCAGATTATGTATTTTACTAAATCTGTTGGTCCTTGAAAGAGGGAAAGTGCAAAGAGAATTCGTGAAAAAAACAAAATGTAACTGAAAATAAAAATAGAGACTTCTGTTTCCATTCCATAAATGTTGTTTATTTATTCGCAACTACTCTCTCTTTTACAAAGTGCTTGCGAAACGTGTTCGCACTCGCAGCCCAAGAAGTTCCTCTTAAAATCAAAACAAATCAAATTCCCTGATGCCTCAAACTGAAATCAATTTCAAAGAGATTTAATAATAAATACAATGGTTCTTTCTTGATTTATTTAACGATCTTAAACCTTGGCAAGTGTTGCTCATTTGCACCTGTATTATTTGACATTTGAAACAATAAATAATTATTTTACTGACACCACCGGGGTCTCGATCCAATCTGCTTGTCAGACATGTCCTCTGTGGGCACCAGCAGGGGGAGTGGCAGTGTTTTCATGATAAACGGGACCGAATAAGTTTAGACGCAATTTTAATAAATGTTTTAAAAAATCAAGGAAATATTCACACACCTGGGGCGAGTCAATAAGTGCGGCGGCACTTCCGAGTGGTCGGCGCGGCGAGAAAATCCATCATTCGCTTTATTTTGGTGAGATATGGGCTGATTGCTGATATTTATGCCCGATTCGCCATTTTTCCACCAGCGAGGAAGTTTCCAGAGACGCCGGTGCATGGGCAGTCGGCGAGAGAAAAGGAAATGAGGGAGGGTTGGGAGGGAGCGCTACCTGCCCAATGCAGCAGCATTGGAATGCGCTCCCACCAACACTCTCTCTTTCTCTTATCACTCGCCGCTGCCGTTGTGCCCAACTTGTCCTTGGAAGAAGGAAAATGGCGAGAAAGGTGAAAATTTTCATGAATCGCCACCGTATCTCATCGAATTGAGGCGAATGGGGAATTTTCTCATTCAGCCGACCACTTGGAAGAGGCGCCGCACTCATAAACTGGTCCCAGGTATGTGAATTTTGCTATTATTTGTACAAATTAATGCTTTCCCGTTGATTTTATTTATTTATGTCACTTTCACACGCTGCTGAAAATTTGAAATTTGCGCCACCGAAAACCAACAGCCAATCAAAAGTGGTGCCTACAGCGGCCTATAGAGCCATGATGCATGCGCGACCGTTTCAAAAGATTTTCATGATCGAGACCCCGGTGACTGACACTGACAATCATTATTGTGCAATTCAAACTTGACTACAAATTTTTTGCCAGAATATTTAGGCCTCACTTTGTTACGAACTCAAGTGTGACTGGTCCAAAGGATTTGGAATGAAAACTCAATTTCACTTGCAACTTAAACAAAAAAGTTAATTCAAATGCAGATCTGGCAAAGGTCTAATTCACAAACATATCTTGGACATAATAAACTACGTTTTAAACTTTTTTTCTTTTAAGCATTACACTTAAAACATTAAATTCTCGAGTTATTTTTCTGACAGGAAAAACTTGAACGAAAAACAATTATTTAAATATTTCGTTTTCAGATTAAAAACATAGAATATTTCTTTCGAGTTGTCTCAATTTTCGCCTGGCGCACTCGGACACGGAACGAGATCGGAAAGCGCCTCAGTTTTCTTCAAGGTGGCCTCACCACGCGACTGGCTGCTCACATGGACCGGTACGGGCCCTGCATCTTGAGAAACTGCAAAGCCAAACAAGTGAAATGAAGAAGGAGGTTTTCAAAGGTTGAGCAAACCTGGATGACGAGGGAGGGTCCGCCCGCGACGATTTCGGAAGGGATGTGCGTGAGGGGGCAGTTCTCGATGCTCATGATCTGCAGGTTGGTGCACAGCGCCAACTCGAACGGCAGGTTGTGCAAATTTGGGTTGTCGTTGATGTACAGAGATTCGAGGTTCTCCAGAGTGCCGATTTCCTCCGGCAGCACCGACACGCAGTTTTCGCCCACGCTCAGGTACGTCAGGTTTGTCAGGTGCCTGCCAAAATCACAAAGCAACAAAATTTTAAAATTTTAGTTAGCAGACTTAAAACATTTTTCCTTTGAAGAGAAAATAACGTTTAATGACAAACACATGATTGCAGCTATTTATCTTAACATAAAGTGGTTTGATGGATGAATAGAGGATGTCAGTAAGAGCAATTTGCTAATTGGACACCAATGCAAGTAAAGTTACAAGACATTCAGTGATTAATTTAAAATAAAAAAAAGGCCAATATAGAATAATTCACTTAAAGCTTTGGCACTAACTCAAAGATTTGAAATTACTATATCACCAAAAACACCTTTTTCGTGACTAACAAGAGCAACTTTTGGCTATTTGATTGCCTTTGTTCTTTGGTAGTCTGGTAAAATTAAGCTTTGAAATAAAATACCTTGATTTTGGCAAACTTGTGTTTGCTTGCTTGAATATAAAAATTAATTTCATTAGGAGATGACTGAACTAATTAATTATGAGATACTTTTAACTTTGAAAATCCTCAAATTTGAGTCACAATTGCTCAATTTTTGTCTTTAGCTTCCAAATTTCATTTGAACCAGTCCCCACCCTTGTCAAAAGTGTTGAATTTTCATGTAAAGAGGGCTGGACATTCTTAACGTCTTATTAGGAACGAAGAAACTGACCCGATGGCCCTGGGTAGGCTCTGCAGCTGGTTGGACTGAACGACGAGTTTGTGGAGGTCGCGCAAGAAGCCGATCTCGTTGGGCAGCGTCTCGAGCTTGTTCTCCTCTAGGTCAAGCACCCGCAGCTTGCGCAGGTTGCCAATGCTCGAAGGAATGCGCTGCGGACGGAATTAAGTAAGTCCTTGAAATGAAAAAAAGGACTCTGGTCAAACCTTCAGCAGGTTGTTGGACAAAATGAGCACCTCCAGGCTCTGCAGACACTGGATGTCGTCCGGAATCTTGCTTAATTGATTAGTGCCTAAGTTGAGCTCGACCATGCTCAGCCAGGTGCCCACGTCTGCAAAAAGGTCAAAGGTGAAGATGATCCAATTCCATTTTAATCACAGATCCGAGTGACAAATTCGGACCGGGAAATGAATGGCACGTACCTAGCGGGAGGGCGGTGAGCTGGTTCTCCTTCATGTTGAGTTTGGCCAGGTTCTTGGCCCTGGAGAAGATGGCGTAGGGAATCTTGTCGATGGCGTTGTGCTCCAGGTTGATGGAGTAGACGTTGATGAACTGGGCAGGGCCGCCGGCAGGGTACGAGTTGAACGAGTTCCTCGACAGGGTGATGCTGGTCAGGTTGCTCAGGCTGGACAGCAGCCCCTCGGGCAGGTGCGAGATGGCGTTGCCCTCCACGTTGAACTCGTCCATCTGCGAGCAGTTGCTCAGCGTCTTGGGCACCCCTGTCAGCCGGTTGTACCTGAAGCAGTCAAAGTCACATTAAAGGGCACTGTTACCTTTGCAAGGGTTGCAATTGGTCAATTCGGATCAATTTTTCAACAGTTCCAATGATGCGCAAAGTTTACAAAGAAAAGCTGGATTTTAGTAATTCACACTTCTAAATTGTTTCACAAAATGAGCCAGTGTCATTGAAAAAAAAACATTTGTATGGCCATTTGTATAAAAATTCAAAACTGCTGATTATACTTGATCACGTTTTATCCCAAACTAATTTGAAACATACAGAATTGAAACCAATTATTCAAATTGCAGTAGAAATGAAGTATTAGAAAAAAATGTTGCAAAAAAAAAAATAAAGCTCATGCACTTTGAGAGTCAATGAGGGCGATCCAAAAGGCTAACTTGGCCCCGTCTAAATTAAATTGGCCCGGGCTTATTTAACCCGCCATTCAATTTTGCTGGGGGGCTAAGTTAGCCCGGGGCTAAGTCAAGTTAGCCTGGGCCAGGTTAGGCTTTTGGATCGCCCTCAATAATTGAAAAGCACCTTAGCCCAAGTCTAGTAAGGGCTTTGAGGTTTCCGATCGAGTCGGGAATGTCGAGCAGCTCGTTGTGCTGCAGGTCAAGGGTCAGCAGCTGGTCACAGTTGCCGATTTCCTCAGGGAGGTGCTCAAGGTGGTTGTGCGACACGTCAAAGGTCACCAGGTGCACCAGCTCGCCGATGCCCGCCGGCAGCTCCTTGATTTTGTTCTCCCGAAGACTTAGCATGGTCAGTTGCTGCAAAATTTGTGGTTTAGAAAGGAAATGCAAAAGACCAATTCTTCGAACCTTCAAATTTCTGATTTCGTCGCCGACAAATTTGACTCGGTTGAAACGCAGGAATAGGGTGGTCAGCGAGGTCAACTTGTACACAACGTCGGGAATCTGGTGGACACGCAAAAGGTTCATATTTTGCGATTTCCAGAGGACAAATTATGAATACCTCGCTGAGCTTGTTGTGTCTGAGATCGAGGACCCGCAGCAGCTTGAGGTTGACGAGCGAGTCGGGCAGGGAGGTGAGCGAGTTTTCACTCAGGGCCAGGGTTTGCAGGTTCACCAGGCAGCCTATTTCCAGGGGCAGCGTCGCCAGTTTGTTGCCGTACAGGTAAAACTCTGTGAGGTGAGTGAGATCGCGGACGCTGCCCGGCAGGTGGGTGATCTGTCGGTGGCAAAAGCCTTTATTACAGGACAACTCTTGGTGAAAATTTTTGATCATGATTTTAATAGATCTCATTGAGGCAGATTCAAAATGGCATGGAAAGTAAATTTAGACTTAAACTGAGAGGAAAAATCAAATTTTTTCTTTAGCAGCTATTTTGGATTTAATTTTTGACTATTTTAGCCAAAAGTAGGCATAGCAGCTTGTGGGAAACTATCAATAAATTAATTTTACTTCAAATTTTTCTTACGCTAGATTTGCTGAGGTCGAGTCTCCTTGAGCCCTCCTCGCGGCACTTGACAAACTCCTTTGCCACGTCCTACATTATCGGCATTCAATTAGAAAAGCTTTAAATTTAATCTCTCGGCACATTTTACCAAGTCAGCCTGGATGGGTTTGTTCTTCTTGACAGTGGGCTTTGGCTTGTTGGACTCGGGGTGCTTGACTGTGACCACCTTAGGCCGCGTTCCGTCAGACCCGCTGCCCAGTGACGCTGACGAAAGTTTTTTCTCCTGATGGCAATAGCAAATATTGAAATGAAATAAAAAATAAGTGCGATTAAAATTGAATTCTTGAATTTTTTTTTGATCCCTGAACGTGAAAGAAGGCCATAAACCCTTAGCAGAATCTGGCCCAAAAGCCAATTTCAGAAAAGAGAATCGGAATCGGCGAGAAAGATTTCAGCAGTTTTGAGTTGAAGAGGCAAAAGAAGGCTGTGGTTTTGTACCTTGAGGTGGTCCTTGGCGGAAAGGGGGGAGGGGCTCTGGTGGAGGTCGGCGACCTCGGGCATGTCGAAGGCGGGGGCGGAGACGAGGAGGGTACTGGGAGGCGGCTCGGGGGTTGGGGGCAGGGGGGCGCCGAGGCGCTGAGGGTGGGCCGACGAGCCGCCTATGTCGAGGTCGCTGAACGAGGCGGCGGCGGCGTTCGGAAGCTCGGCCGCCGCGTCCGTCGGCCGGCAGGACGAGTAGTCGGCCAGTCGCTCAGCCGCCGCCGTGCTGCTCTCGGTGCTACGCGACTTGGTCACCACCCTCTTCATTACACGCCTCCATGCGCCGCCCAAACGGATTCCTCCCTACCTGCAACATTTCAATTTTTTCAACATTCATTTAAAAATTCAGACAAAGCTTCTCAATGTTGAACGGCTGAGGAAATAAATTGGAACGATTTGTTTAATCAGCGCAACACCTCTGGGCCCATGTTTGATTTTCTCCCATAAAGTTAACATTGAGCCAGAAAAAACACATATTTTTCAACATTTCTGCATTTAAAAGTTCTTTTTCGCCTCGGATTTAAATCAAAATTGACAAAAAGTACAAAAAGCGTCCAAAAAAATATAGATAGAGATAGAGTATTTATTGAACACAACTAGGTGTACAACAGGTGTCTAAAGCTAATTTGTCTTCCTAAAATTAGTTTTACAATTAAGCTTGTTTCGATAATTATTAAAAAGTACAAAATTAGTTAATTCTGATTTTTGCAGCTTCTCTTAGGCTTAGTTTTCGTTCATTACATTCAAGAATATGATATTGTAAACATTTATTACCGCAGTGCTTGCATTCACAATCTATTGTCGCTTGAGAATGAAAATTGTTATTCTTACAAAATAAATAGTGGTACCCATGACAGGCAAATCTCGTAAACACTTGGCGATCACTGAACATTGCACATTGCCAATTTTTATCCTTCAAAGTTCCTGTCTCGTAGAACTCATCACATATATCAAGTTTGTTTAAATATTTAGACACACAAAATTTCTGGAATGCTTCAGTTTCAGTTAGAGAATATTTTACCAGTAAGTCCGATACAAAGAGATCTACATTTATAAATTAAAATTTATTCTCTGAAATTATTTGCAGAAGAGCTGCAGCTAAAAAACCAATACAAAAATGAGAAAAACATATTTGCCATTAATTGTAAAAGCAATCTGAATTTAATCAAAAATTGTCTAATTGACTGCAGAAGAATACATAATAATAATAATCATAATAATAATAATTTAAGCAAACTTGGCAAACCTGTTTGGAACACTATCGATTGGCGTTAATCTCATTGTTTGCACAAGAAATAGAAAAAAATACTACAAAAAAATACACCACCTTCACCTTTCAAAGGTACGTTTTTACCTGGGAAGGGTAGCGGCAGGGGACAACCTTGGCAATAATCTTAGAAAGTTCGTGTCTCAATAGATGGTGAGAATATCAGACTGGCATGAATTTATTTCAGGTTACTTAGGACAATGCTTTTGATTGCTAGTCTAGAATGTAAAAATTTAATGCAAAAAATGTTTACAAACAACAATATTTTGTATTATATTATAAATAAAATAAGTTGATTCATAATTTCTGTGGTCTATTTATATATTTACTATCGCATTTGGGGGAAACTTCGAAGCAACAACAATAATTTAGTTTTAATGTCGCATATTAAAAAAAAAAAAAAAAAAAAAAAATACCGATCAAAACCTTAAATTGATTTTTGATTTTTTTTAACAATGGCAGATTGATTGTTTTCGGAACCATTGTTGTAGGTCCAGATTTGGAGATCGGGCGCCGGAAGTGCCCGTGGGCCCGAATGCCGCCACGAAAGGGCCTGGTGAGGGTGGCAAGGGTCGGGGTGCAGGGGGCGGAAGGCCTCCAAAGGCGGTCGGGGGTCGGCGGCCGACGCGAGAGGGTCGGGGGCGATCGCAAAATGTCTGCGGCGGCTGCGGAAAGGGGCGAAAACGCACCTCCGAGAGGACCTGCGGCTCAGCAGGGTCGGCGGCGGGAGGTCACCGGGGTCAGGGTCATCCCAGCCTGGTCTCAATCGCTTCGGTCGCCGAAAAACTCGAAAGCCGACGCACGAAAAACTCCAACACCAACACAAGTTTGACAGATACCGTCGCTCACCTCACAATTCTATCGAAAATCGATGCTCGCAATCATCGATATTTTCAATTTAAATACCGGTTTTTTTTAACAAATCTTAAAAACTGGCGCTATTAGGCAAGATAGGATTGCTGCGACTCGTCTTTCTAACTCTTTCTTGTGACCTGGAGCATTTTAATAACTTAAATAGGTCAAATTCAAGAAAACCTAACGATCTGAATTTAAAATACCGGTTTAATTGTGACCGGTAAGTTAATTTTCGAAAAAGATCGAAACCGGTGCATCGATTTTAGAAATTGTTGGGTTTGACGGCTGGCAGCCTGAGCCAAGATTTACTTCTTGGCCTGAGCGAGGCCTAGCGAGGGATGGGAGGCGCAGCTGCCGACGGAGGGAGGGGGTTGCTCGCCCGGCTCCCCTCCCGTCGCCCCACCGACCTCTCTTTTACTACCAGTGTCGGCAATGTCAATACCACGCTTCACTCAATGCAAAAAGTACAATTTTTTTTAGCGGTTTCAGAGATCTTTAATTTGCAAATTTTTCCAAACAAAATTTAAATAGTTAATTTTGTATTAATTAATTTTTTTCAGAAAACGCATAATTTTAAATATATAATGTGATTTAATGCAAAATGTAAAATTTATGTAGCCAGTGCTTATTTTTTAAATATTAAACTACATAAATTATTATTTCATATTACTACTTCTTCAGCCAAATGATTGATACAGCACACAGTGTCCGTATCAGAGGTTGCAACCCTAATTCAATAGAGGTTGAAAGCTCATGACCCTTGATGGTGAAATTCTACCACGAAATGTTAGACGCGTTAAATTAAAATTTAAACCTTAGTTAAAATTTGGTATCAAACCAAAATTAAGCAAAATTAAAGTGGATGTTTTGTGTTTTGGACTTCGGCCTTTGGTGGCGGCGAGGGAAAGAAATTTTTTATTTAATTTTTCTCTGCGATTAAATGATAAACTTTTCTTAAAAAAATAAAAATCCACTTTGATGACATATTGTCGGTTAAATCTACTCTACTCTCTTGGCTCGGGGTGATTCGCCCTTGGCCCAATTCTGGTTTGGCCTGGATGAGTAGGGCGGGTGCGAGCCACGTGTCGAGGGGTGCGCGCCCGGATGACCCACTTCTCGTGGGGTGCTGGAGGGTCCGTCCGCACGTCGGCCTGCCTTGCGCACGCCGCCACCCCCACCCCACGTACCCCTCCGACGCCAGAGGGCACGCCAGTCCAGCAATCGAAAAACTCATTTGGATTTCAAATTTATATCAGCATGCAAATTCACAAACGCCCATGTGCCCATGATCTGCTTCTAAAAATAGAATTATCCAAAATAAATGTCATTCAATCAAATAGTTCTCCCTTGAATTTCATAGAGAATTAGCCAAAAACGTGATCAACAAATCAAATTTTTAATTACAAAATTGGTTCTTAATTTCATTTCCATTTACGAGCTTTCAATAAAAATTGGAAACAGGTCGAACAGGTCTTAAATCTCAAACTATTTTTATTAAGTGATTCAAAATTTAAATTTTATGTTTAACTTTCCGGCTTTGAGAATTATGATCGATTTTTGTTTACAAAATTAATTGTTATTATTTATTCTTCTCGGTCAATACAAAATTATAAATTGGGAAAAGAGAAGAAAGGGTTTACAACTAGCAGATATGTCTGCTAAAACGCCCGACATCAAAAGAGACGGTGCCGCGGTAAACCCACACTACTGCCACAAATGCTCCTTGCAGAGGGAGGGAAAATTACTTGAGGGACAGTTTTTAAGGGCAGGTGGCAGGTCGTTCCAAGGCTTGACTATCCTGAAGGAGAAGTTGCCGCGACCGAACTTGTTTTTGGCCGAGGGTGGCTGGAGGCGGGGGTCCTGTATGTCGTCACCTCTCAGCTTACGACCTGTAAGATTTGGATCGAAAAGTATGTGGCCACATAGGCTCGATCCGCTGTGTTGTTGTATTCGCCGCGAAGGTGGGCGTCGTAGCCGAATGGGCTAGGCGGGGAGCCGCTGGTTGACTGAATGAGTTGAGTTGTTTTTCTGAGTTTGTATGTTGCGTCATCGGCAGAGTCGCTACAGACCCATTACAATTCAGGCGCGTTATTCATATATTTTACGCTGTTTTAAAACTATTAATTAAAAAGAATTTAAAAAACATAAAGCTACTTTTGTTGAAAGACAGGATCATATGAGACTTTTTTAACTTGGGCAGCTGCTGATGATTGACGAGACTCAAATGAACACAAATTTAACCCGACGACGGAAGGGGAGAAAATTAAACAAGCAGAAATTCCAGCTAAAAGTAAAAGTCATATTGAAAAGCATGGCAAGTTGAATTCCATTTTAAATCGTTGCTTTAATATTAAAATAACTAAAAAAAAATTTCTTCATTTTTTGAACTATTCAAATATTTCAAAATTTCTTAGTTTTAAAATGGTAAATTAGATTTATTATAAAATAAAAATGGCGGAATAATATTTGAAAAGGAGTGCAAAGATATAAACCAGGATTTTTGATGCTAGAATTTCAAAATGCTCCAAAGTGCAGTTTTGGCTCGGAGGCGGCGCCCTTGGCCGGAATTTTGTCACTGCTTTGGAGGCTCTGCTGGTGATAATTGCCTCGGCTGCTCGAAATAGTGCGCGCCAGTTAAAAATGGATCATCTCCAAAGCCGATTTCGCACCTACAGGAAAGCGAGTGTGAAAATTAAAGTGACGGGTTTAGCTGAAAAAATATTTTATTTCTTGCGCCCCTCATCTGCAATCACGCAAAAGCAAAAGCGATCTTCCAAAATAAATTATTACTGTAGATTCGTGGACGGAATCGATGTGACATGAATGTTTTTTTCTCCAAACAATCTTTGCCAAGAGTGATTAGTTCTTTTTAACCCAACCGAGCGTCGAGCTGATTTTTGCTACAAAAGTGTGAAAAGTGCTTTTCCCCTCGGCGGAAACAGTCCCTTTCATTTTACTGACAAGACGCAGTACAACATTTTGCGATTTGAGACAAAGCCCAAAGTTTGATTTTCAAGCTTCAACTCGTTATAGTATTCACATAGTGCGTTTGGGACTAATTGTGTGCAAAATTACGTTTATTTCCAAGTGTTTTGTTTGAAAAAATTATTATCTACGTGGAAAAAGCCCAAAATCTATTTTAAAAATTTGAGCCACAGGACTAATGCTGCCAGAGTTGACAAACATTTTCTAAGAAAAGCACTGATTGAAATTCGGACCAAATCTTGATTTCCAATTTGAGAATAATCAACCATTTCGGATCGTTGTTGCAACGATCAGGCAATAACTTGTTGAAATCAATAGAATTTTCAAACGAAAAAAAGGTTTGTAATTGTGCACACGTAATTGTGGTCCAGTAGAGAAAAAGCGGAAAAGTGGAGTTGAGTTTGGCGGCGCCGATTTCGCTTGGATTCACTCGCCGGTCATCATCTCCATGAACTCGTCAAAGTCGACGGTGCCGGAGCCGTCGGTGTCGATCTCGGTGATGATGCCGTCGAGGTCGTCGCTGGTGAGTTTGTCGTCAAGGGCGGCCAGGATCTCCCTGAGGGTGGCCGTGGTGATGTAGCCGTTGCCCTCGCGGTCGTACAGCCGGAACGCCTCCTTCAACTCCTCCTGCATCGCCTCGGCGTCCTCCTCCTCCAGGAAGTGGATCGCGATCGTGCAGAACGTCTCGAAGTTGACCTTGCCACTGCCCTCGGGGTCGTTCTCCTCCACCAGTGCGTTCAACTCGTTGTCGTCGTACGCCTGGCCCAGCGTGTTCAGGATCGTGCTGATCTTGAGCGTGTCGATCGTGCCCGACTTGGTCGTGTCGAACATCTGGAACGCCTTTCGCAGCATCTGCATCTTCTGGTCATCCTCTACTTCCATCGGCCTGCAACAACCGACACGCGCCTTCAAATCCCTTTTCCGTCCTTCCAGGCTCAAAAACCAAACTCCAAGCTTTTGTTAGCAGCAAATCCAAGCCGGGTTAAGATTAATTTCTGAGGTAAATTCGTCGGTAAATTCGCAATACGTAACGAGAGGCAATCCAAAAGCCTGAAATTAATCCACCATGCAATTCCAATTTAAATCAGCTTTTGTTACTTTGAGCAAATACAAACAGATCCAGATATGCCTTTAAACTACCCGTTGAGAAAAAGTTCCACAAATAAAAGTTATTTTAAAAACCTGTGCGGCAAAATTGCAGAATGCAAATGAATAATCAATTTATGTTAGTTTCCAGTCAAAATATCTTTTCGTGCTATTCTTAAAAATAAGGGAAATTAAACTTTAAGAAGAATGGGATTCCAATTGATGCTGATCAAACGCAGTCATTAAATTTGAGATCTCAATAAAATTAATTTTTTTGAAAAACAAAATGCTTTTAAATCTGAAAAATATCGATTAAAAACCTGAATTTGTAACTATTTAAGTTCTTCAAAAATATTGATAAGGTTTAATTGAATACGTCTACAAGTATTGGAAATTGTTACATTCAAAATTGGTGCATTGGTTGAAAACAATTTATTAATGGTCTCGATCTAGGGAATTTTGAAAATTTCGCGTGTCCCTTATTTGAAAACTTGTGAGAGATAAATGTAAAAGTGCGTGTGAATGAATGAAGCAATTGCGGAGAGATTGAATGAATGACTCACATGATTGGACACCTGAACCGCGAGGCGCGCCAGCTAAGAGTGAGAATCGAGATTTGGCGCGTTCGCTCCTCTTATAATTGCACCTTAACGAGCTATAAGAAGCAAGCCTGCTAACCGGCTATATTCGTTTTCGCACGCCTTCTAGCCGCTTGCCTCGCAGCCGCCTCGCCACCGCACCATTCGTCATAAGCTATACTCATAAAAATAACACACCCCTTCCCATTTTTCCCATGCGCTCGCATTCCACCCAAACCATCTGATTCAACCCTTCTATGTAAACAATCCAAGGATCATTTCGGTACTGAATAATCATTCATTCATAGTTTTTTCGTGGAAATAAAAATTAAAATAGGTACGCATAATGAAATTTTTGCAAAAAAAATTCTAAACCTAAATATATATTGTCGACATAATTAAAAAAGTTAAAACAAAAAAATCTATAAACACATCATTAATTTGAAAGCGGAAATGATAAAGGTGTAAAATTAAAAGTGAAATTTGGTAGAAGAATGAAGGCAACAATGCCAACAATGAACGGCGCTGATTGAAGTCGGGTGCCGCGTCCAATCGATGGTATTTGGAGCGGCGAGACGCAAAAGTGCAAAACTATTTTCGGCTCCTGTTTCCTATCCACCAAATTCCAGCGCCTCTTTCCAACTCCGGCCGCGCCAACACAATTTTTTTGCTTTCAAATCGTTGGACCACGTAGATTTAGATACGCCGTCAGCGCAAGAAGTTTCAATTTCCTACCACAGCAGGTTTTCTAATTTTGATTCCGTAAATTGAGAATTTTTCACAAATCAATTTTTTGTGACCTGACCTTTCCATCGACGTGTCACACTTGATACCAAAATAAATTTGGATGGGAAATATTTGGAAAGAGATTTTTTTACGGTGACTTGGTCATCTGACAATTTGTCATGTGCTTTATATTGGTAAAAATAATAATGACGATCTGAATTTCAATCAAAATGAAGGCGGAGTTTTTCTTTTAGTTCCGGAGGCGCGAGGCAGAAGTTGACGGCGGCCAGACTCAGGTTTCGAAGGTCATGTTGACTCAGGTCAAAGGTCTTGGCCGCCACCAGGAACTCGGCGGACAAGTCGGAGCAGAAAACGCCCTTGTCGTCCGTCTAAACACCAAAAACTTTCAAAATTTCTCTTTGCAACTTATAAAGAAGGTGCTGGAAAAACTATTTCATTTTCTCAACACCTCACTTTTTTCAGATTCGATTATTTCACTTCTCTCAGTAAAAAAATTGACCAGCAACTTGCACCTCGGTTAGGCAGCTATTAAAAATGGAGTTTAACTCACCGCGAGGGCCACCGGGTGTCCAGCACTCAAGAGGTGGCGCAAGTGGTGCTTTTCATAAGTGGGAACCGTTTTGCATCTCAGGTTTGAGGTCAAGCAAACCTCTGAAAGTAAATTCTTAATCTTTTAATCGATTGATTCAAAATTACGTACCAACTGGAATTTTTGAAGCGAGGAGCGCGTCCCACTGTTGCTGGCAGCCGCCCAGCTCAGGGTGCAGGCAGGTCACGTGGCCCAACCTGTCAGGCGCGAACCTAAGCATTTCCATCACCTCAGGGTTGTTCGGGACCTGAGTAGCAATGATTAACTGTTGGATAGAAAAATTCAGAAAAATTTATGCCTCTCCGCAGTGCACGACGACGCCCAGTCCTTGGTCTCTGGCCTTGCTCAGGGTGGGCAAGAAAAGGTCGAGGGCACCTGCCGTCGGGTCGCCGCTCAGGTCCAGACCGACCACCAACTCAGGGTGCTTCTTTCTGGCGTCGAGGGCGATTTTCAGGGTGTGTTCCGCCTCTGCAGGACCCTGACGACGGTCCACCGACAGCAGCAACCTGACCACGATGCTGCCCTGGTGTGACCTGAAAGCAATTTGCAATGGAAATGGGTCAGTTTTAAAAGTAACCACGATCTTGGAGCCTAATAATTCTGATTGGTCCAAGAAGTTCCCTCACCACCAAATTAAAGTTCACTTCAAAGCATTAGGTGTGACACATCAATGGAAAGGTCAGGTCACAAGGAATCGATTGGTGACAAAATTAAATAAATTGTGCTAATTCCAAAACCAATCCCTCTCAAGCAGGATAAACCAACTGACAAGATGGCATCGATGATGGCGTCGACGTACTGCTCCTTATTCATGCGACCTTTGACCTCGCGAGGTGTGCTGCGCAACTCAAGGTAGATGACCCCGTCCTTCTCAAAGTCAGTGATGACATCCGAAGTTGCCAACCTGACAGCCTCGGGGGTCACTGTCAGGGCGTGCACGGCTTTGAACATTTCAAAGCACCTGAGAACAAATTCAACCCTTATCTTAAATTAGGTAGGTACAAAATGAGTGGTCACAAGAGTATAAAAAGAGTGTAATTTTTTCAACATATATGTATGTAATACATATAAAAAAATTCTTACTAACTCTGCAAGGGTCCTGTGCTGCCCGTGGTTGATGGCGACCTGCCACTCGTCGTAAAGGTGCGGGGCACCTTCCAGGTGACTCAATTTCTGGATCGTGCGTTCGCTCAACGATCCATTTAAATGAGCGTGAAGTTCCTTTAAATATATTGAATCACAATTAACCCAAACGGCGATCAAAGGAGAATCAGAATGAAAGAATAACTCACGATTTTTGGACACTCGCGACAAAAATCCTCCATCGCCGTTGAACAGAAATCTTGACGAAACAAATAAAATTCAAATTTAAAAAAGAAGCAATCGCGACAATCGCAGCCACGCCGGTTTGTTTTGGTTTTTCATTTTGATTGTCGAGCAAAAATTACTTCATTGTTTTTCCGCCAGAGGCAGGTAGATCGAATCGAAAAGCTCGGCCACGCCCCATCTTTTACTCAACAAGTTGTTATTTGTTGTTGATTTTATCAAGATTTTACTGATATTTAACAGATTTCTGCAGATTACGATTACAAAAACGTCGAGAGCCGCAAAGATATTATAACGGAAAAAAGTATGCTGGGCCAGGCCGGCCCAGCAGATTCGCCGATTTTTCAACTTCCCGCATCTCGCCGGATCACTAATATTCTCCACTCGGTACCCCAAATTCTTAATTGCATACGGATTTATTTTATAATCTTATTTTTTTCTCTACGAATTTAGACCAATGGTGAACAGGGAAATATTTTCGAATTCTGATTTTAAATAATATAAATAAATAATAAAGTTAAATGTAAAAGAATTTCGAGTTTTGAACTCTCATTGTTGGTAAAGTTTGTGTCAGTCATAGATGAAAGCTGATTAAGCAGACTTTATTTATGTCCCTGTTCACAGCAATCGAATTTCGTTCCGCAGAGGAAAGCGGAGAGGCTCGATTCTTCGTGCTCGCCCCAAGCAATCTGGGCAAGGTGGCAACCACGCCGAGCTGCGATGAGTGCAAATTTACGACTTCAAAAGCTGGAATCCGGCTTTCCAAGCCGGAGGAATTTGTCCACGAGTTGCAGGCGCTGAACAGGTGCACTTGGCCGTTTATGAAAACGCAAATGTGGTCGTCACCTAGGACGGCTTTGGCCACAGTGAGGATGACAACTTCTGCCCTCGGTCAGTGCTAATGTGTGGTCTTCTTTTGAGTCCATCGGGTTTTGCAACAGCAGCTTCCAGCCCAGATCTCAAAGATTGTCAGAAATTTTTAAAATTATTAAAGCTGAGAAAGTAAATTTTTTTTATTAATTTGTCCCTTTTTTGCAGACAAGCACAAGAACTGCGGCTTATTCGCAACTCATTTAGGAAAGGGACTGGGACCTCGTCATGCAACCTTTTTATGTCCTAATTCAAACTGTTTCACTGCCTCCTGAATTCTAGGGTTGTTTACTTATATTGTTGTGCATGGATAAAATTTGACTGAAATTTATCCATAGACTTTGCAGAGAACGCGATTTTCATTTCATGCATGTCTTTGGGCAACAGTTCGGCGAAAATATGATCGAGTTGGAGAATGAGATACTCGTTGGCTACCCTTTGCATGTGACCCTTTTGAAGAACCAACAGTCCCTGTTGCTAATAAAGTACGGCTGATTTACATAGGTTTGATAAGCATAACTAATAAAGTTGTTTGTTTACAGCAAATTTATTAAAAAGCTCAAATCTTTGAAGGAAGCTGTAACACTAGTTGGTGGAGACGAAAAGTTATGGTGTTGAATGCTTTTTCTTTTACTTTTTTAAGCAAATACACAATCCAATTTATGTAAATATAATTTTGAAATTTTTTATCTTGAGAGTGCGCTTAAGTAAATATCCCTCCTATGTAAGAAGGGACAAGTCAAGACTATTGAAAGTCCTCTAGGCTTGCAGCAGGCTTGCAGCAATTTTAATAAAGACAATTGAACCTTGGAAACTCTAAACCATACGCAATTTTGCAGGGAAAGGACAGAGACGGAACTTTGGTTTTTATCAACCCCTATTGCCAGTAGTATGTATAAAATATAATGAAGGGCACTATCGATGAAGGAAAAGAAGTTTTTTATTTGCAGCTGGTGGACAATAAGCTGCAAACAATAATTGTAGAAATCCCATGTCTTCTCTGTGGATTATGAGGAAGTTGGAATTCAAGAGCCCAAGAAGATGGTCCTCAGGCAGGTGCAAGTTGACAAAACAATCAAAATTCTGGAAAAATTTTCTTTCGGGACCCTATGGTTGGTATTATTGCTATTAGTTTTCCACAAAACTATAATTTAATTCTTGCTGTAGATTTTGCCCATAAATGTATAAAGGTCACATGCAAGGAACACTTTTGCCAAGGAGGGGAGGACTTATTTTACAACGTGGAAATCTTGTCGGTGAAAGTGACACCTCCAGAAATCCTTTTAAGGTAACAAATTATATGTCAGTCCGAACCAGTCACACACTAAATTGGCTTCATATTATAATTTTTTTTCTTTCCGTGGTTAATTTATCATTTGATACTTTCTCGGGGCAGTAATATTGGCCTCTATTTCTGCAAGTGGCATAGACCAGGAACTATTCTTAGCTTCTTCTCTCTTTAAATTTAATTGAAAGTTTTCCCTGATTAAGATTTCTATTTTCGTTTTTACAGACTCCACTAATTATTTGCATTTGCTCTGAATATTTAGTTAGAGCGAGAAAGAATTTTGAAGCTTTGTTTTAGAGTTAAAATATTATTTTTTGCGCATAATTCTGCTTGGAGATTTTCAGTGCTCCAAAGATATAAAAAAAAATCTGTACAAGCAATCACAATTTTAAGGGATCCAGAGGCTCCCTGTAAGTTTGGGGCCCGTGGAGTTTTCCGCCCCTAACTACCTTTTTATATTTGCTGCTAGTGGAGCAGACAACAAGGCTTTGTTAAAAAGTTCAGGGCAAACCTGAGGGACGTCCCACCGTCTGTATTACTACCAATGATATTGATTATGTTCCGATCCAAATACTGCCAATGGGAGAGGGGAAGAGACACTTCTTGAGCGAGCTCACTTCATTCGGAAGGACCTTTTTAATAGACGCGTTCATTTATTTATTGGTGCTTTCAAATCGAAGAAGCAAAAATTTTCACGAAGACTACTTTCAAATAAAAATTCTAGTCTTGAAATTTTCATTGCGATATTAATTAACCAAATATAAATAAACAGGAAGTTGCTATGTCGTATTATCTTGGAGTCGACTGGAGTCAACTGTGGGCAAGAAACCATTCTTAATATAATGCCTCTGGAAATGATTCTGATCTACGTTGGAGACGATACGAGAATCATTTCGCAAATTGTTGAAAGTCATATTTATATTTTTCTTAAAGCTTCATTTTTAGCCTTTACTCTCAACAAAAACCTTCCAATTCCAAAATTTGCATAATCATAATCATTTGAATTTATTACACCTTTTATTTTCAAATTTGTACAATTTAAGGATAAAATTTAATGATTCAAAGTAATAATTTTTTTGTAATCTATCAGTATCCGTAATCTTTGTCCTTGATGGGCCTGAACCTTTTGCGGTCAATGACCTGCGGGGCCGGTTTGACCCCGAGCAGGTCGAGCATGAGGGTCGTCGTTTCCTGCTCGGGGGTGGTGTGTGGGGCGAGGGCGGCCACGGTTTTTTGCGGCTTCCTCTTGACGGGCCGCACGACGCCTTGGACTGCACCAGGTGTCGTCGCTGAGGGCAGGGGCGGCTCCGAGGTCGGCTTCGGGTACACCCACGGGTCGGGTTGGTACGGCGGGCGCTGCCCCTCGGCCAGCAACACCACCGCCAACAACGGCAACAACACATTCGCAATGCGAAGCATTGTCCTTCTGAAAAAAAAACTGGAAATTGGTGACATTTTTTCAACTTATTGCTGATAAATATTTTAAAGAAGTAAAAAATTTGAAAACAATTTTTTAAACTAATTTTGATATTCCATATAAACGTTTTCAATTTACAAATGCTTTGGGAAAAATTGGGAAAAATGTAAAGTCCCTATTGATTTTATTTTGGATTTTCAATGTATTAATTTATAAGTTAATTTTTTAGGTTTGTGTTAAAAAACGTTGCCCATCGGAAACTTGAATCAATTTTTTTATGACTTAGACAAGATTTTAGGTCTAATTAATTTCTATTGATAAAAAAATTCAGATTGAAAAACCCCAACCCGCCAATTAAAAGTCTGGCAAAATCCAAATTCGGCTCAGGCTGAAGAACATATAGTTTTTAATCACAATTGTTGCTTTCAATCTATAATTTTTGAGAAGTTCCTCTTTCCTAGCACAACCTCCTCCACTGCTTACACTAATTTGTAATTTTTAAGGAAATGAATTTCTTACTCTATAGAAATCAGCGAAATAAATTTTGAACCAGATATGATTATTTTTAAACGATATTTGAGGTTGAATTTGCAAACCTTGCTAATGCTGCTGCTGAAAGAAAGAGAAGTTTTTTCCACTGAGACCGAGATGAGCCATGCAGGTGCGCGTCTCTTTCTTACGGTACTCTCTTCCCTACCACGTTTCTAATCTCGCCACACGACATTTATTTTGTGACGCAACCCAGCAGGTTATGCGCGTCACTCGCCAGCTAACCTTTTATGAAAATCGTCTAAATAAAATAAATGGGAAAAAACATGTTAAAAAAAAATATGATTTTCAAGAATAAAAAAAAAGCAATAATGAACAAAAATGCTTTGATTTTTTATTGACGGAATAGAAACAAATGCTTAATACGCAAAAAAAAATTAGTACATTTTAATTTTCCCACAATAATGCACAGTGTATAACAGATGTAAAATAATAATGTTTTTTTTTAACCAAAATTTGAGTTTTATATAAGATTTAGATTCACTCACTAAATTGATTGAGCTACATAAGAAAATTGGCATTTCTTAATTATTTCATATTTCAAAAACAATGTGATGGAGTTATCATATTGGAAATTTGAGATTAAATCAAAATTTGCCTAATAAAATGGCTGTGAGCAAAAAAAAAATTAAAATAAGCAAATAATTAGGAAATTGCCATTTTTAAGGATTTGGGACTGAAAAAAATATATATTTTAAAAAAACACTGAAATATTTAGAGATGCGGTTTTTTATTTTCGCTTGAAAGGATTGCCAAAAGTTCCATGAAAACAGCGAGCGAATTGTTTCAAGGCCACAGCATTTTGAATGCTCGCTGCTTTGGCGCCATAATTTGAAATTGCAGGTGGCAGCACGAGCGGAATCGCCATTTTCGCGAAGCTGTGACGTCACCAGTCCCAGTCCGAACACTTCACTTTTCACCAACTTACTCGCAAATTTTCTTTCTCCATCGGCCAAATTTTATCACGCTTTCCGATCCCCTTCTCGCCGCTGGATTAATTTCGTCTCGCTCGCCAAGTTTCCTCAGGTCAGTCCGTGCGTGTTTCGAAGCGCAATTTTTGCCCCATCTCGCGTGATCCGATTCCAATTCGGCCGGTCAAACATTCATATTACGTAACCGGCAATTTTTCAGAAAATACATAATTATACCGCAAAAATGTCGAAATCGACATGATGCGGCTAAGCGACGAGCAATTCCTCGTTCTTAGCGGCAAAAAACCGTCTCATCCTGTCGATCTCGGCTTAAAAATTCCTTCTTTTCCAGTGCAAAGAAGAATGGCCCCCGAAATCCAGAAGCCGGCGCCACCCTTCCAGGGCACGGCCGTCGTCAACGGACAGTTCCAGGACATCAGCCTCGAGCAGTTCAGCGGGAAATACGTCGTCCTCTTTTTCTACCCGCTCGACTTGTGAGTCTCATGAAGAATACATAAACGAAAAGCTGATTTAAAATGGAATTTACAATTTTCCATTCAGAATTAGCGACTTATTTTATAACGTTGCTCAATTTGATTGGGTTTATCTTTTAAAAACTAATGGTGGCCAACCTTCTGTGGACCACAAAATCGTTTTGTGTGACTTTTCACGACGTTTGGTTGTTTTTAAAGGTGCAATCTCAGATGAATTGGTACAATTACAGTTTGTGGCCACCATTAATGATTTGTTCTTAATATTTGCAGCACTTTTGTGTGTCCCACGGAGATAATCGCTTTCTCGGAACGCGTGGACGAGTTCCGGGCCATCGGGTGTGAGGTGATCGCCGCCTCCTGTGACAGCCACTTCAGCCACCTTGCCTGGTAACTAAAAATATATTCGCCATTTGTCATTGAACCAAAATAAAGCTCAACTGGCTTTTGGCGCCCTGATTGACCGTTTCAGGGTGAACACACCGCGCAAGCAGGGTGGACTGGGCGAGATGAAGATCCCGCTTTTGGCCGACAAAAGCTGCAGCATCGCGCGGGCGTACGGAGTGCTCAAGGAGGACGACGGCATCCCCTTCCGAGGGCTCTTCATCATTGACCGCGACCAGAAGCTGCGCCAGATCACCATCAACGACCTGCCTGTCGGCCGCTCCGTCGACGAGACCCTCAGGCTCGTCCAGGCCTTCATGTTCACTGACGAGCACGGAGAGGGTCAGTTCAAGGGTCACGCCCTTTGCAAAAATAACGAAGTTTTTAGTTCATAATCTTATAGTCCAGGTCAAGGCGAGTCCAACGGTGTGCTGAAAACAGCGGTTGGACCAAAATTAGGCGATTTTAAACGCGGCGGCCATTTCAAAAATGGAAGGCGGCCAAGTCCAAATTTACGCTTAACAAAGTTGCTAATTACTCCAACCCAGTCTTGTTGCATATTGATGAAATTGTCTTGAAAAGAACTATTTGATTTCAGAAACGAATTCGAAATTGGTCCAAGTTAATAAAAGAATACTTAATTATTGTTACATGAAAATCAATGTAATCTTATGCAAGTGGATATTTTTGTGGAATAGTCGGAGGTATTGATTTTCTGGTGGGCTAATTATGTGAAATGGTGGCTGATAAATTATTCATCGACTTTCGTCATCCAATTTTGCCCAAATAGTACCTTATGCAATTCCTAACGAATGCAAATGGACACTTTAATTAAAATGTATCTGGTTTGCAGTTTGCCCGGCTGGTTGGAAGCCTGGAGCGAAGACCATGAAGCCCGACCCTGCCGGCAGCAAGGACTACTTCAAGGACGTCCAATAATGCAACATATTGTATCGATCAATTCCGTGATGTTTTCTCAATTCCTTAGCAACTTTATCGTTTAATGATTTTCCACACAAAAAAACACAGCCAGTATTTTTTGTAATTGGTGTGTTGGTCAGTGATTGTGCAGCTCTGCGAAAAAGAAATAGTTGTTGAACAACTTTGTGTTGCTACTTTTGTGCTTCACACGTGATTCTTTTAATAAAATACACTCAAGGAAATTTTCAAAATATTTAATTCTAAAAGAGTTTCGTGTTTTTACGACCACTCGAGTGGTTCTTATCTAAAAACAAACAATTGCCACTTGAATTTATCACACTGATTTACATTAGACAACACAGGAACGTCCTTATCAACTTTGTGATAACAGATCAGCTGACTGTTGCAATAAAAGTGCAATTCGGTCAATTAGAGTTTATTATCTAGGGGGAATTTCTTAAGACAATAAAAATGTTAATCTCGTCTAGACTGAAACTAAGCGATAATCGATTGATTGTCAAAAAAGAAATCAATTTCAGCACGATCAAAAGTCCTCGAGACTCAAAATCTCGCTAGATAGTATTCTGGTCTCATTGTTTCTTTGCCCACTTTTCCTCGGGATGATCACCGGACTCTCGAACTCTAAGTCCATCTCGAAGCTGGGGATGGCGCAACTCGGGGGTTGTTCTGGGAGCTTATCATGAATTTTTACGGTTGCGAGAAAGTGGGTGTAACTCTCGATTTACGAATAAAATATTTTCGGTCGCGGTAAAAACTTTTTACGGTCGCGAAAAAACGTTTTTTCGGTCGCGCCAGCTTTTTTTTCGGTCGCTAGATGGCGTTGTTTGTTTTACCGGTTGTGATCACACTTTACGTGAGGCGGAAAACTTTTTCTCGCTCACGTTAAAATTTTACATTGATCAAATGGAAGTGATTTTTACGGCTGCTCTCAGCAGACGAAAATTTTGAACCGTAAAAAAGCTGATCATTGCCAATAGCTTTGAAGTTTGAAGTGAGGTTTCTATGAATAATTAAATAGGTAGATCATACATTGTACTAATTTTATGTGATTGATTTATTAAAAAACAAATTGTGTCCCTCCAAATTAGTTAAAAATTAAGGGAAAGATATTTATAATGCAATTTAATGTGACAAACCGTGACCTATGCTTCAAACCAGTCGCAATAATTTCTTTTAATCCACGTCCGGGCCGATGATTTAAGGAGAATAGCATATTAAATTGATCTAAATTTAATATTTCAACAATTTACTAACCAAATTATTGGGTAAATTAAACAAAAATTTGATTTTTTCCGTTTCTATTCCACTTCCATGATCAAAACAAACCCACGCGACACACGCCCCCTAGCGCCACCGTAAAAACTTTGTTCACAACCGAAAAAGATTTACTCGCAAGTGAAAAAGTTTTCCCGAACGTAAATTTTTAGCTCCTCCCACCGAAAATATTTTTCCTGACCGAAAATTCTAGCTCCACCCAACGAAAAAAGTTTTATCGCAACCGAAAATTCTCGCGACCGTAAAAAAATCATGATAAGCTCCCTGGCACCTCAACAGGTTCTTCCCTGGGCTCCAACTTTGGCTCTTCTGGTTTCGTCTCAGCCTTCTTCGGCGGGACAACTCGGAAGTACTTATCCAGCGTTGACTGCTGCACTCGTTTCAGACGTTTCGAGTCCTACAAATTTAAAAGTGATTTAGAAAACTTTTTATTTTTAATCTAAATTGGGACACGATCAGAGCTTTAATTAATAAGGTTTCCTATAATTCTTAACATTGGTGCAAAGGAAATAAGGCGTTCGCATTAGCCCAGACGGTTTCAAATTAAAATAGAGGGTCCAACAGGAACGGGAATCTTCAGGAGTCCCGGGAGGCGGGAGAGATTTTGTCCCAACAATAAGGTAGCGGGAGCTAGGGAGCCGCGAAAATTTTATTGGGAATGGGACTCCCGGGAGAAAATTTTGAAAATTTAACTGATTTTTTATGTTTGTTTCTGCAGAAAAAAAATATAAAAAATTGCGTTTGGGACACCTTATTGGGACTCCCGGGAATTTCTTTTCGGGAATGGGAATTCCCAGGAAACTTTGCTAAGGCAACACGGAGCGGTCGGGAAAAGGAAAATTTTCTCTGGAACGGGACTCCTCGGGAGCAAAATTTACTCCCGATGGACTCACTAAATTAAAACCTGCTCCGACAAATCAAGTGTGACCCACCACTGGAAAGGTCAGGTCACGAGGAATCGCCGATCGGTGACCTATTAAAGTCACTAGGGTGACCGTTTGGGTTGTACCTTTACAGGGTGCTGTCTCTGATAGACCCTGGTGATGACCGCGGCCTTTCCGAGCCAACCGTCGACGCCCACGGCCTCCAAGGTCCCTCCGAGGGCCGACCGGCCCAGCAGACACTGTCTGCCTTGCCTGCCCTGCTTTTCAGGACGCGACCTTCGCTTCATGGTTTCGGGTGCTGCACCTGGATGCGCAGGGAGCAGTCGTCGCACTCGTACTCCACCTGACCCTCGCCCTCAGGGTCCACCTGGTACTCGGCGCCGCACCTGCACGCCACCGACCAACGATTGGCCCTCCGCAGCTCCTCGGCGTCCACCTTTGCACGCGAAGGTCAGGTCAAAGGTAAAAAATTATTTGAAATCCAACCTGGGCGCAAAAGTTGTGCGTGTTTCGTTGGGCGAGTTGGGCGTCGTGGAGGCGGCGACTCTGTTCGTCCTTGAGGACCTTCCACGCCTCCGTGACGGCCACGAAGCGGTCGGAGGTGGCCCCGGGGGCGGATTCCTCCGAGGTCTGCTTTTTATCAGGGTGGATTTGCAGCAGGAGCTGCTGGTAGCGCCGCTTGATGGCCTCGGTCGACGCCCCGCTCTCCACACCCAGAACCTCGTAGTGGTTCATCCGACCTTAAGAAGGTCGGCGACCTTCAGAGGTCGGAACACAGGCACCCGGCTTGCCAAAGTGCCGATCGCAAGCAAACAATAACAACAAAGGCACAAGGGAATGTTTTTTATTCGTATTTCCTCATGTTTATGTGTCTTTCATCGGTCGGTCCTGCTACCTGGTGCTCAGAAACGGAACCAAAACGTCGTGGTTGGTGCTGCTACCTCGTGGTGAGAATTAGAGTCAAGCGTGTCCGACGCGTTGCATACCCAGCACGGCGCTTTCGTTCATAAAAAACGAGAAATTGATTTATTGCCGCCACAGATTACTCAATATTTTAATCTTATCTAATATTTTTTTTTTATAAATATAAAAAATCTGTTGGAGAAAAAAGTTGAAGTATAGGAATATATTATGAGCTCCCGAAAATTCAAATTCAACGTTTAAAATTATAATAAAATTGAAACATCCAAGGTAATTAATTTTAATGGAAACGCAGAAAATAACCGAGGAAACATTGTTTTATTTGTCTCGCCATCATCAGAAAAACGCCATACAATCATTATAACTTTATATATGTGTACATGTTAGTGATTGATTTAAGTATATAATTTGATAAAACATTGATTTATTTTAAGCTCATAGAGTTTGCGGTTTTGCCTTTTCCATAACTCTTAAAAAGAGATCTCATTATTTTAAAATAAGAAAACAATCAAGTTCTCCCAGTTTGAAAAAGAGCTTTAAATTTAAATTAATCATGAGCCTTTTTGTCACAAAAAAAGATTTCTTTTGTACGCCTTCAAACTTGTTCTGCGACAAAAGTGCAGCTTTCTTGACACCGAGAGATCAAAGCAAACAGAAAAAATAATTCTTCACACGGACGTGAACATTCACAATTGCGGAAATTTGTGGCAGCTTCACAACTTATAAAGAACAAAATTTGCTATTCGAAAAAATATGGAGGGCGATCCAAAAGGCTAACTTGGCCCAGGCTAAATTAACCTGGCCCAGGCTAATTTAACCCGCCATTCAATTTTGCTGGTGGGCTAAGTTAGCCCGGGGCTAAGTCAAGTTAGCCTGGGCCAGGTTAGGCTTTTGGATCGCCCTCATGGTTTTTACCGTTTTTACTAACAATTTTTTTTTAAACTTAAAACATTGAAAATAAAATGGAAAGTTCTTTTAAGAAGTTTCTTTTTTTATTATTTTTAGGATGAAATTTCCTTCTTTTGAAGTTGGTCGTGGAAAAGAGATTGATAATTTGGAAAACAAAAAAGGGCATTAGTGGAAAGGAAGGGGAGAAATTTGTACTGAAGCGCGTGACGAGATTTGTGTCAAGAGGAAAAGCGCAAATTGCTCTGCTTAGTCCCTCTCAAAGGCTGACGCTCAAGAGTTCCCCCAAAAAAGTGGCTTCGTTGATTTTTAATCCCTTCGTCTGAATTCGCTCCAACTGACCCTTTTTATTTCCAAGGGCGAAGTATTTTCCGCGCAATGAAATAAAATACAAGGCATTGGAGGAGATTTTACTTGAAATTCATTTTGCGAACATAAAAGCAAGTGCGGTTCTTCTTTCTTCTCTTGAAGGACGTTTTTTGGCGGCGCGTGAGAAAAAGGCAGATGCTCGATTTTGAAACGCAAATTTTTTTCTCGCCACGCAAGAAAGGAATTTATTTTCTACCGCGTCGGAATACGAAGTCTACTTTCGGAGGGAAAAGGTGCGACAACTTTTACCATATCGGAAAGTTTGTTTTGCAATAATACAAAAAACAGCCCCAGGTCCGCTGGGACCATATTTTCTCCCCCATCCCCCAACTGCACTCTCAGTAATTTTAAAAAAAACTGACGAATCAAGAAAATTAAAATTTAATTCCAAAATTTCAATACTTTCTTCATACAATGAATTTTGCTTAAATTTTTTTCAAAGTAAAGTTATGCATATTTATATTTTACATTTCATTACAAAAAAAAGGAGTGGAATGTCAAGAAATGCAAATTTTTTCATATAATTCTTGTTTTAATTTAAATCCAGGGTGAAACATTTTAGTTCAGAAACTTGCTATTTTTGTAATGCGATACTGTTTGACCGGTTGGCAAGTCACAAAGGTCAACAATTTATACCTTGCAACATAATATTTTTGTTTACAAATTTCACTGTTAAAAAAACGGAAAAAGAGGAGCGAATTTGGCACAAATTTCACGACTGCCCGCGGCTTATCAACGTCCGATTTGATCTCACGATCGTTTTCCGCCCTTTCCATGCCCAAGGACTTTGATCTTTTCCACTAGAAATATAAAAAATAGTCTCCCAGAGAAATAATGGAGTGAAGCAAAAAAATTGTGATATTTGGGTAAAAAATATTGTAAGCAGAACCAAAACTGCCACGAACACCCGCGTTTAAAATTTGATCTTCATAGTTACTTATTTATTGGACGAAGATTTGTAAAGAGTTGTTCTTGTTCCTTATGAGAAGTTCGCATCAGTACAAGATAATTTATTTTCTAGCAAAATTCAGAGGCTTGTAAAAAAATTAACAATTTTGGCAGGTATGTAAGTCAAACATGATGATCGGAAGGATTTTAAAAAGTTCAAAAATTGCGCTTTTTTTAAGAGCATCACAGAAACAAAAAAATTATAAATCATTATTAAAAGTTTGAGTAAAAAAAATGAGCAATTTTATCACAAACTTTAGATTTTGAGAGAATTCCTTTTCAATTCGAATCAGTTGAAACTTTGCTTTGCCAAAATTGCTTTTGCAGATTATTTGAAAAAAAAAAAATGTCGAAATAGTTATTGATTTTTTTTCTCGGACCTCATTACAGCGAATTACTCTTAAGGTCGTTTTTTTCTTTAATGAGGTCCAAGTCAAGGAGAAGCAAATGAGGCGTGAGGATTTGGTGGGGGTGCCCGCCGTCCGAGGGGTGGACGGGGGCGGTTCAGTCGTATCACATGTTGTTAAAGGTGTGGGGGGAGGGTTGCTGGAGGGTGTTCTTGCGAGGCACGGGTGCGGGGAGGGGGCGGAAGCCGAGCATGCGCTTGAAGGCGCGCTTGAAGTTGGCGTTGCACAGGGGGTAGAGCACGGGGTTGAGCGTCGAGTTGACGTAGCCGAGCCAGATGGTGGCCGTGTGGAACTTGGGGTCGACGCAGTCCTCGCAGAAGGCGACCACCGTGAACAGCACGAAGTACGGCAGCCAGCACAGCACGAACGCGCCCATTATCACGCCCAGCTGCCGCGCCGCCTTCTTCTCCTTGGCCAGCACGATCGCGTCCGACCCTCCCCTCCCGCCCCTCCGACCCTGCCCGGCCCAGAACTGCGTCCGCGTCACGCGCGACCGACGCTGCGGCCCGCCACTCGAGCCTCCTGAAACGAACCAAAATTTACATTTAGAAAGGTCGCAATGCAAAAGGGACCTTGGAGGGGCCCCTCCTCATCTTTATTCTAAGTTTTGGGTAAATTTTGGTCGTTGGTGGCGCTGCGAACTTGGCTAGACCAGCGTTCGCAGCGCTCCCACGAACAAAAGCTAATTTTTTTTAGACAGGTCCAACTTTCATGGAATGCGAAGCAACGGTTCGGAATATTCAAATTTATTTTTCACACGATATGAACTTGAAATTCGACAATCTTTCAGAATTAAGAGAGATAAAAACTACCTCAGTGGGTCTGCAATGTCACGTTTAAATATAAATTATTTAGCGGTAAGGGGAGTGACAAACACAGTTAAATCGCTTAAATAATTAATGTTTGCTTACCTCAATTATCTTCATTGAAGCATTATAAATTGCTATTTACTGAAAATTAGCATATTGATTTTGTACTTTGATTTGATGCAGATTTAAGCACCTAATTATAACCTCTACTTCTTTGCAAATTTGGTAGAAATTAGTGAATAAAAGTCAGTTTACATTTCAGTCGTTTTATTCTTATTATTTTTTTTTGTTAGCTTAAGCTAAAATATATAAATAAAGAACCAAATTTAAAATGCGCGACTGACATTTGGAGACTTTAAGACTCTCCCTCTTTTCAAATTTGACATTCATAAAAAAAAAGAGATAATCCGTGGAGAGAGTTTTTGAAAGCGTCACATTGTTCGCGAGTGAATGTGCTGTGAACGGAGCGCCGAGATTATAATTTTGTTTGCTCAACGTAAAGAGAAGAGCGAATTGCGGCAAACAGAAGACGGCAAATAAACGCGCGAGGGTTGAATCGCATCCCGGGGGTTCCGTGAAAATAAATTACGCACGTGATATTGCTGAGCAAAGAGTTGCACGATTAATTAATTATGTAGCCCATGCATTGTTCCAAGCAAAGCAAAGTAATTTGTTCGTCGATCCGGTATGTGACCCGAAGAGAATTTTCAGCGCACCGGTGCAAACTTTTGAAAAAAGGCAAAGCCTAGTTTGATGAGAAAACATGAAGCAAGGGAAAATTGATTTGCAAATTAAAATATGTTGAAAAATATGCTAAAATTTATCTCAAAATTGAAGAAAATAGTCCAAGAATGAAGAGAATTTGGCGGTTGTAGCTAGGAAAATTAATCTATTAAATGCTTATAGACAAAAAATCTCATTTCTCGACCTTTCAGCTTTTACTTCTTTTTTGTTTTTGATTTAGTGGAAAAATTTTCTCCAAGTTTTGTAAACGAAATTTGACTCTAAAATGTTTTCCAGAGCAGCAAGAGATAAATGAACAATAAAAAGTGACGAAATTTGGGCCTTGTTTCAAAGCAGTGAAATAATTTGTGCTAAAAATGGTTTAATTTCAGTAAACTTGTCAAAATTAAATTAAATTTCCTGTCAATTGGCATTGCTATCATGATGATACAAGAAATAAAAAAATTACAAAAAAAAAAATCAATCAAGCAGCCACCTTTATAAAAGGTACATTTTTACCAAGATAAATCTAGCCATTCTTTTTGGAGCAAAATGATTGCAAGTAAAAAGTAATTTTTCAAAAGAACACATAATAAAGGACATTTTACCGCGGGTCGAGGGTGTTCTGGCGGTGTCGTTGGCGGCGCCGACGTACTCGACGTTGACAGTGATGCCTTCGAAGTGGGCGAGGGCGTCGTTCATGGTCTCGTCGGAGGCGGCGGGGGCGGCCGCGGCCTCCTCGCGGTACGACAGCACGGTCAGGTTGCGGAACTGGTGCAGTTGGCGGCCCTGCTCGTGGCGCTTCCACTCGCGCAGCGCCAGCCCGTCGCCGCGCCGCGCCGACCGCCGCCCGCTCGTCCAGTGCCGCGGGTCCTCGGCCAACGAGTCGTCCGCCGCGTCGCCGCCTCCACTGCCCACCCGCCCGTGCGTGCAGTGACCTGCCCCCAACACAACACACGCTCTTGTTAAATCACATAAATAAGGCAAATCTTCAAATGCACTAATTTTACCGAATTTAACTAGCAAAGTCGAAACAATTATACAATTGCAATTATTGTTTCAACGTCAAATTTATTTTGTTTTTATCTTTTTTTCAAATTTTTTCTTAAATTATTAAAGAATTAAAATTTGTAAAAACATTTAATTGTTTGATTTGTTCATTCTCACACAAGTGTTGCAATTGTGTCATAAAATGATAAATATATTGAATCGGTGCAGGTTTTTTTTTTTAATCTTATTTCAATTTTGAATTGAATTCTCTCTATTTACATTTTCCACGCCTGAAACCTAAAGTTATAAAAGATTGAAAAGCGTGGATTTTCACCATTTTTAAAGTTTCTCGGGTTAAACTTTGGCACTCATTCAAGAAAAGAAACAGTTGTTATTTAAAACTGTATTAAGCAGCGTCCCTGTTTTAACTTTACATTAAATTACAGGTTTCATTGCATCTTTGAAAGCACAAAAATTTATGGTTGCCTTAATTAAATGCGGACTTTCATACCAATTATCTTCAACAGCCTTACAAGTAAAATGAAATTATTTGCAAAAATGTGATGCGTACCGATTTCGAAGCGGCTGCGCTTCTTGATCTCGAAGAAGATGCGGCCGTACAGGTAGACCATGAGCACGGTGGGGAAGTAGAAGTTGAAGATGGCGGCCGTGACCTTGAAGGCGACGTTGGCCGCGAACTCGGTCTCGCACACGTCGGCCGGGTTGCGTCGCTCGCCCGAGTGCTCCACGTGGTGCCAACTGATGATCGGCACGATCCACATGCACGACACCACCCACACCAACCCTGCAAAAATCTCACTTTTATTTAAAATTAAAAACTCGCTTCCACCAGCATTACAGAATTCTTCTCAAAACTGCTTCGTGTTCAAAACTTTGCCTATTTTTTTTATGTGTAATTTTACGGAACGAGTCAAATGAATATTTTCCATTTTAAAAGACAGGCAGAATCAGTATTCAATTTTTCAAATATTTGAAGAAGAAAATCTATGGAACTTTCATTAAACATATGGTTTCGAAACTCGTGAATTTTGAAAAGATGGTAGCAAAATAGAAAATTGCATACCGATCATGATGAGTGCGCGTTTCTTGGTGCGCTTTCGCAGGTAGCGCAGCGGCGACGTGATGGACCAGTAGCGGTCCACGCTCAGGATGAACAGGTTGAAGATGGACGCCGTGCTGGCCGTGTAGTCCGCCGACAGCCAGAACTGACACACCGCCAACCCCAACACCCACCGCCCTGTCAAACACCCAAATTGGTACCCATTAAATCCATTTCACATTTGAAGAGGTTAAAAAAAACACTCATTTCAAGAGTCAGTGTGGATCATCTGGTTAACAAATCCGCGCGCCTGTAAATGGGAAAATTCCAAAATCTGTTTCATTAATTAAAATAATATTGGGAGAAATTTAATTGCTGTTTAAAGAGAAAGGCAAAAACTGGTTTTCATTCCAAAAGGATTGAAAGCGGAAAGTGCATCAAATATTTGACAAAGAAAAAAGGATTTGGAAAAGCGGTTACTTTTGAAAGAGTGAAAAGAAAAGAAGTTAATAGATTGATCGAAGCTTTCACCAAAGCGAGAGAGCGAAACTTGTTGAGCAAACAAACGCACTCGAGACTTGATTTGTTAAAAAGCGTTTTCTGCTTTTACTTATGATGGATTTTGAGAGCTTTTCACGCGCAGACAACTCCGATTTGGACAAAAAAAGGAGAATTTCCGAACGGATGCAAAGGGCCAATTACTCTGTGAATTTCGATCCGCGCATGCAAATTGGCCACTTTTGTCGCCGCAAATAACCTGCATATGTGAAAAAGCTTTTGCCGGGCTGCAAATAATTGGCTCGCTGCGCCATCCGCTCCGATTAACCGTCGCAATTCCAATCGAACCTACAAATATCGCTTTTGGAAGAATATCGAGGAATTTTGCGCTTGGAGGACGATTTGCAAGATCAAAGACGGCGGCGCGGATCAAGATAGGGTTTTGCGTTTGAGCGGCGACGAAACCGCAGCGCCGGGGCTTAATTTGCATTTGCAATTTACTCTCTCGCTCTATTTATCGCCCGCCGGCCGCTCGAGTTTTGCCAAAACGTTTGCTCTCCAAATTGCAAATTCACACACGGAATCAATTTCACTTTGCTCTTCAATTAATTAAACCCGTGTGGCCTGTAAAATTTGTTGCCATCAAACAAAATTTAAAGCCAGAATTATTAATTGAGAGAAGTTAATTTGTTTGTGCAATGAAACAGAGTCCTCACTTGAGCGCCAAACATAACTTTTAAACGTCAAAAAGGAATTGCTAAAATCAATTAACTTGTTCATAAAGTGACATTCGTTTTTTTATCATTTGAGGAAATTAATTAAGCGTTTGAACGAAAATAGTCGAGCCGCAAATGATATTAAAGGGAAACCATTAACCTTATTTAAGAACAAATATAGAGTTAAAAGTTAAAAATAAACCATGCCAGAAGTGTTTAAAGTGAAGCTTCTTTTACCCAGGTTCCCTCTTATAATTATAACAATTGAACTCCAAGTAATTAAAATGCAATAGGAATAATTATGTGAAGTACGCAAATTCCAAAGATGACATTTTTTAGCATAATTCTGATTATAATTCCAAATTAATTGGCAACAAAAGGCACGCACCAATTTTAAGAATATTTGAGTGATTTTTGGAAACAAACTTACTTTGAATATGTTTCATTTGCGACATTATTGGAATAATAATTTCAAAAAATGAATATTCGTTTATGGTTTTCTTTATCAAAAGAATTCCACAATTTGCAAATCTTTGCACGAGGTTTAAATGTCCATTTTAATCCTGTTAAACCTCAAAATTTTCAACGAACCTTTTACAATTTCTAGCATTTTGCTAATTAATTGATCTCATTTACTTTCCGTAAATAAATATCAGAGGCGGATAAATTCATTTCTGCAAATTCGGTTGAAATTTTGCATAATTTTCAATAGTCGTGTAAAGAGCATGAAAAAATAATGGTTCTCCCTTTATTGGCTCTTATCGTGGTCGCAAACAAGTGTTTCTTGTAAATTGCAACAAAAATTGTTGTCTTTTGAGCAAAGCTCATTAAATTAGATTAAAATGTGGCAGGAGAAGCGCCTTAATAATCAAGAAGGAGTTTTGGATGCAAATGAATAATTAATTTTGGCTGAAAGGGGATTAAAAGGAGGATCGATGGATTTGGCCTGACCTGTAAGCGCGTACATGGAGCTGATGGGCATGACGATGGCGCCCACGGTCAGGTCGGCCGCCGCCAGACTCATGATGAACATGTTTGACACCTGCAACACAAAAGGCTCATTAATTTTCATTCAAAAATGCTTTTTTTCATTCTTATTCTTAGACTGAAATTAAGGAAAATTACAAGCTAAACTATTTCTCTTTTTACATGTTTTTTTTTCTGATTATTGTATAATTGGAAACAAAATCTCGGCGCGAGTGAAGTGAAATTATCTTTGATGGTTTTATTTCACTTCCGGTTGCGCCAATCGGCCTCGAAGCTTTTTATCATCTCTGATACGCCAAGTGAGTTTGCTGCAGTTAAAATTGAAAAACACGCGAATTTGGGAATAAAAAAAGTCCTTTTAGTGAAAAAGCCGTTTGTTTTAATTTTGCCACTTTGCGTCGAATTGCTTGCTGCATTTGAAAAAATAATCCGCCGAGTGGGAATTGAAATTAATTGAAGGGCAAAACAAAAAATGAGACAGTGCTTTTTGTAATTAATTTTCGTTCCACAACAAGTGACACTATTTTATTTATTATTGCGTGACCTTTTACTTCTAAAAATATTGTTTTCTACTTATTTATTTTTATATTATTTAAGTTGGTGCAAAAGCAAGTGCACAAAAACTTTAATTTGAACCTAATTTTTAAGAAAGAAGAAACGTTTTTAATGACAAAATATTTCAATTTACAATTAGCTTGGTTGTTGAAAATTTGTATTTTTTCGTCCCACATTAATTTCTATTTTGGATCATATTAATAGCTAGGATAAGTATGAGATTATTATTTGTTAATTGTGTCATTAATTATTTAAATAACTTTATAAATAAAAGCGCCATAAAAGTATTTTAATCTGAATCATGCAATTGGTTGAAAATTAAATTGGCCCAGTTCAGAGATTTCTGAGGAGAAAAATAAATGATTTTGTGTGAAAAAAAGTTATCTTTGAGCAACTTCCGATTTGTTGCGTGCATAATTTTTCCTGGTTTATCATTAATTGATAGTGATTATGAAATTGTCACTTCCTGCGACAGAGTGAATCAAAAAATTGTTCCACAGCAAAGCAAGGAATGACGGCGAGCGGACCAATTTTATTCTTGGGGCTCTTTTTTAGCGGCCGACTGATTTCGGCGCAAAATTGCGAGGACAAAATCGAGTGCGTCAGAATTTGCGCCAAAGGTACAAATTTTATTGAAAAAATGTTAGCTGGAAAAATGCTACCAATAGCCAGGCACATTTAGCGAGAAAACTTTTACTCATGTTGACAGTTTAAATCAGTCCAGAAAAATAGTTATTCTTCATTTCCACTGGAAAAAGACAAAAAAATTATTTGCAATACATAGATAGAAATGTGTAATTTTAATTTTGTATGCAAAAGGTGTGTAATTGATATTCGGAAATCATAAAAAAAATACAAATTAATTATACTTAATGATACTTAAAAGTATCAATTTCTTAACGAGAACATAACAAGTCTTAAATTTTATGACCAAATTTCATTTAGTTTCAAATTACAGAATAAATCTTTGGTGATAATTTTAGCTTGACAACTTGCTGAGTCGAAAAAGGATCAGATAAAAATTATTCACATTTTTCCATACATAAATAGTTTAGAAGGGTTTGAAGAGATTAATTTTTATTCTAATAAATTTAATTCAATTTTTTTAGCGATAATAATGATATTTTTCCAAAGATTGAAACTTGAAACTGCTGACAAGGAAGTCAATGTCAAATTCAACCAATCTTAGAATGAATAATTACTAAAATTGTAAAATCGATTATGAATTTCTTGGAATATTGTAATTTAAGCTGCTCTTTTTTATTTAATTCCAATTACGGCAGTCTTTTGCTTTCAGAGAACAAAAATTTGTTCCTTTTCGCTAAATCTGCTTAAATTCTCAATTTCAAACTCATATTTTTTAGTGCTTTGCTAAATTTGATTAAATTTTTGCTTTCAAAGAATTTGTTCTAACAACAGAATTGGCTGAGAAGTTTGCCCTGGAGCTGGCGAACGACGATGTGCCTTTGATCATGAACATTTCGTACTCTGAGAAGGCCAACTTCATCCTGGAGAGAAATGCGAGGTGCCCACCTGAGCAGACAGAGTTCCTGCTCGACCCTGCCAACAACACCAAGGACGTTTTCAAAATTCACTACAACGGATCCATTAGTTATCCGAACGATGACGCACTGGCCCACTATCCAGCCCAGACCTACTGCATCGTCCCTCAGGTAAACCCTGGTACAGACCCTGAGCACCTGCTTCGGTCATTTTGGAATGTTTCATTTTTTGCGTCAAACAGAAATTGCAAGATTCAACTTAGTTAGAACATTTCGAAACGTCAGGGTAATGCCCAGTGTGAATTTGCAGAAGGACTCGCAACTCAGGGTGATCGAGTGCGGCGAGGAAGAGGCGGCCGAGAAATGTGAAGAGCAGAACGTGTTTGACGAATTCAAGTTCTCGGCGTACCCGTGGGTCTTCGGCACGAGCGCCTTCTTCCTGGCGGCCACCGTGGCCGTGTACCTGAGCGAGTGCGGCAAGATGACCTTCCAGACGACCGCCATCACCTGCCACTCGTTCTCTATGCTCGTCTACTTCGTCGGCTTCAACGTCGCCTACACCAAAACTTACTACGTACAAGTGTGGCACTGCCAGGCACTAGGTCAGTTCTCAGGTTAAAACTTCCCGAATCAAAACTTTGATTCAATTTTTCCGTAATTAATGAGTTTGGCTCAAAAATGCGAATGTGGATTTTTAATTGTTGCGACGAATTTTTTAAATTTCAATACATTTCAAACAAGTCTAAATTCTTTCGCCTAAAGAATCAAATTGGGGTGTATTTAGGATATCAAATTTCTGTCCATTGTTGTCTGTTCTGATTGTTGCTCTTTTGCAGTGTTCATCAACTACTTGTCGTCGATGGCCTCGTTCTCGTGGATGACCGTCATCTGCGCCGACATCTACGCCATGTTCAAAAAGTACTTTTTTTCTCTTTGATTACTCACGCTGAACTTCTGCGCAGGTTCTACTTCCGGTCGCAGTGCCAGAAGATGGTCATCTTGGCCACCTTCGCGTGGATCCTCCCTCTGCTGCTCACCGCCATCTTGTGCGTCTCCTACTTTTACTTCCAACACGAATTCAGAGAATGGAAACCTGTCTTCGCAATTACAAAATGCTGGTTCGAGAGTGAGTTTATTTGCTTACAATTAGATCTTCATTTTTTAAAAGAATCCCATCCGTGTTTGCAGTTTCATCATAACCGTAATTTTCTTTCCTCACATGTTCATGTTTAATTCAACAGATGTGGATAAATGTTGACTTTTTATTTACTGAAATTTGATGAAAACAAATGGGTAAAATAAACGCTTCTTGAAGGAAAGCAAAAATTTACACATTATTGAAAAGAAAACTACAGAAAAAACTGATAAAAAAATATTCAAATTTGAGAGATATTAGCTTTGAAAACCATTTTCCAACAATATTGACATAAAAATTTAGCTTTAGAAGTTTTCCCATGTTCTTTGGAACCGAAAATTGTTCAAAAAATCTCACAAAATCGAATTTTGGCACCATTTAAAAGTAAAAAATTATATTTGCAGCTGAAGAGAGCCGATTGTTGTTCTACACGGCGCCGATGGCGGCGCTGTTGTCGCTGAACTTGATCATGTTCGGGTCGTCGTGCGTGCGGCTGCGGCGACTGCAGCGGCAGTGCGACGTACGCGGCGCCGAAAGCCGCGTGTTCTGCGGCGACGTGCGGCGCCGCTCGAGCCGCGTGCTCGCCTTCAAGTTGTTTGTGCTGATGGGCGTGCCGTGGACCTTCGAGGTCCTCTCCGACCTCGCCGACTTCTTCGCCGTCGACGCCTTCAAAGCCGTCTTTGTCGTCGCCGACCTCGTCAACGGCCTCAGGGGCGTCCTCATATTCTGGGTCTACGTGTGGTCCAGCACCAACGGCAGGGCCAAACTCGGCCGCCTCCTCGCCACGCTCCACAAAATGACCAAGTGACCGAAAAGGAATCCCGAGATTCACAACGATTCCTAAATTCATTTGTTTGCTTTAAAAAAAACTAAAAAATTATGTGATTCGGCGAACAAGATCATAGCAAAAGGTCAAAGTTTTAAGACTCGAAATAAAACTGCCAACAGATCCTTTTTCAATTTTAAAGCGAATGACGGCGATCTAAAAGGCAATTCGATTTGACTGGAGGGTTAATTTAGCCCGCATTAAGTTTGGCTTTTGGATCGGCCTCGTCACTTTTTAGAAACGTTATCTTTGTTTTGAAGTTTGAAATGTAAATTCGTTTTTTTTTTACTTAATTGTCATCATTAAAAGTTGACACTAACTTTTTTTAACTGCAACAAATTATTACAAATTACGTTGTAACGAGATCGTGGAAAGTGAATCATGTATACTTAATAAAAGTGACGCTTAAACCCGATTCGAAAGATTTGAAATAAACTTCTGACTTTGTTTTCACGATGAAAAAAAAATTGCCACTGAAACTTCCTCGGCTTTTTTAAAAAGGGTTATTTTGCCGCGCCGAAGAAAAAATAAAGCTGTACGATGATAAATTGGAGTTGTGCGTGCGAGCGATCGAGCTGAGCCAAAATTAAGGCGGCCTGAGATTTACGGCGTTGAACGCGGCTCGACTCGTTGTAAACGCCGATTTGCCGCCAGATTGAAGATGCTGCACTGCGAAAACTCTCAAAACAATTAATTTAGCACCAAAAGTTGAAAAAGTGGAGCATCCTTAATTTGGCATTTTATAATTTTCCGCACAAGATAACAAGATTTTTTAACCGCTAAGAATACACGATTTTTTCCTCTTTTTCTTATCGCACTTTATTAGGCTAGGATAATTCGTCAGTACAAGGAAAGCGAGCAAGTGCAAGATAACTCGGGGTCGCTAAAGGTCGATTCATCGCGATTAGAATAAAAGCAGAAAACACGTCGCGATCGAACCATGGCCGCGCTTCACCTCGCTCTGCTTCTCAATTTCATCTCGGCCGCGTGCGCTTATGACGTCCCGCGCTACGATTAGAATTTGCTCGCGAGGTAATCACTTTTATTTTCCTACGTCTCAAATTGTGCAGGGAAAATGGTTTTTGTCTATTATTGATTTTAAATTATTTAATATCCAAGTAATCTATTGACACACCATTGTATTGTGGGCAAATAAACAACATAATAATAAAAATTAAGTCCTTCAATTCATTATTATGGTTTTTAAATAAGTATATTTATAATTTTTTCATAATAATAAATATTCAGTACTTTCGTCCAAATTCTAATTGTTTCGAAAAAAACATATTAAAAATTGAGAATATCCAAAATATATTTATTAAATTTTTCCAAGCCACAATCTATTCTCAGATAATTGTACGTTTTTTTTTAACAAATCATAAAAATTTTTAAGAAAAGTAAATTTTAAATGTAAAATTTACTTATTTTAAAAATATCTTGAAATATATCTGTAGATATATTTTATATGCTGCATAGCACGAATTATTGTGCTGGAATATCCTTGCTTTGTATGCAGAAGAACATTTTAAATACAGATTGTCAAAAATTAATTAGCATACAATTATAGTTTAAACCATTCTATCTCATTGTCAAATGTTTTCTTAAAGAGCAGGAGATAAAAAACCTGATTTATATTTTAATTTTCTCAAACAATAGAAATTTTAGGAGCTCAATATTGCCTCATTTTAGTAAACGCCAACGGTCAAGTTAAATTTGATTAAATTTCCTCTTCATTGGCGTTTGTCTCATATGCAATAGTTAGAAAAATTACTACATTAAAAAAATAATAATAAATAAAAATAAAACAAGTCATATTTTATATAGAAATATAAGCAAATTTCAAACTGACATGATTTTTTTACAGAGCTGCAACTCGCTGTTACTCATTTATGATTCTAAATGTCTACTCAAAAATTGGTTTATTTTGATTATAATTAATGATGATTTGTTAACAAAATATTGGTTTGATTAAAAACCTTAATTATTTTTTCTCTTTTCAATTAAATACGTAGAACAAAAATGTTGAATTCAAAGCATGAAATAAATTTCTTCTTTTTTTTTTTAAATATAATTGAATGCAAAATTGAATGGCGGGTTAAATCAACCCGGGCCAGGTTAATTTAGCCTGGGCCAAGTCAGCCTTTTGGATCGCCCTCATTATTGTTTTCAACAAATGAAAGCAATGTATTGTACCAATGTGGACGAATAAGCGACAATAATCAATTCCACATCAAAATATTTTATAACTGGAAGGTCCTGCACCCGCTAGACTCTGATGCTTTGCGGCACAGTATTGTCTAATTTTAAGGTAACGATTGTTAATTTTCGCAGGCGTGGTTTCAAAGCACAACCTGAGTTTGTCAAGCGACCTTTCTTTGACGCGGGTCAACGTGTCCAGCCAGACGGTCCTTCTGCACTCGAGTTTCCGCGTCGAGAGAGGGAGCGAGTGCGGGGAGGGGGCGAGTTCGACGCTCCTGCGGCCGCACCTGCGAACTCACGACCAGTTCCAAATCTTGGCCAACGGCTCCATCCACTACTCGCACTACGACGACACCGCCACCTTTTTGCCTCAAACCTTCTGCCTCATGCCCCAGGTGCGATCAAAATCCAGGGCTAAAAAGAGTACCTTCCAAAGGTGCATTACGCTTGGTCAATTATAAAAAAAAAAATGTTTTACGAACATTTAAGATTAGCAAAGTTTCTTTAAAAAGAAAGTAATGTAGTCACCTACAATTTAAATAGTTTTTAACAGGCTTAGCAACAATTTTAGGTTAAAGTGTACAAAATAGTTCCGAAAATTTTTATGTTCATATAAGTTTAACAACAATGAGGGCGATCCAAAAGGCTAAATTAACCTGGCCTGGGCTATTTTGACCTGCCATTCAATTTTGCCGGTGGGCTAAGTTAACCCGGTGCTAAGTCAAGTTAGCCTGGGCCAGGTTACGCTTTTGGATCGCCCATTATTTAATTGTAAGATGAAAATTAAGATCCTTATCTACTTTTCTGCGTTTCTTGTGATTTTTATAAAATGTACAAACCTTAATTTAGATTATTGTGCAAGTTGGACTGCAAAAACTGTCCTCATTTGACAAATGTAAAATGGCTTACCGAAACTTATAAACTATTTTAAATTAAGTTCTGCAATTATAAAACGGTCTTCGGATCCTTTTAAAATCTAAAAGTGAAAAATTCAGAGTTTGATTTTCATAACATATTTTTCAATTTTTCCCTCAGGATTCGGGCGCAGTGGAGGTGATCGAGTGCGTCGCAGAAGTGGAAAAGGAGCCTCCGCTGAAATTCGACTTTTTGCCGATCCCGTAAGCACTGAATTAATAATTTTTGGAAAAAATTAAACGAGTATTTGAAAAAATTAGATTCATGATTTTTACCCAGATCCTTCCCATAGATTTTTACGGCGTTGGGAAGGCGTCCTTAAAATTTAGTCCCGCAAGCGCTTAATATAAATTTTTGGAAAAAATAACAAGAGTATTTGAAAAAATGAGATTCTTGATTTTTGCCCAGATACCTCCCATTGATATTTCTGGGCCTTCGTCTGGTCCAAGCACGCAAGCAGAACCTTCCTCGCCTGCCACGCCCACTCGGCCGACCCTCCGGCAGAGGCCCTTTTCTTATGTCACCGTGAAAGTAGAGTTGAAAAAAATTAAAAAAGTCGCACAATTTTGTGTAATTATGAATTCGTGTTAACCAAATTTATAAAAAAAAAAAAAAACTACAAATAGTCAGCTTAGATTTTAGAGCTTAGAATTTTTTTTTTAAATTTTAATCACTTTGGTCACCAATTGATTTGTCGTGACCTGACCTTTCCAACATGTGTCACACTATATTGAGGGATTTCTTAATTTGGTGGTGGGGGAACCTTTCTGAGCAATCAGAACACTTTTCTTTAAAAAACGAAATGGCAACTTGAACGTTTTAAATTGATACTTTTATTTATAACTAGAGTAGAAACAAACAAAGCCATTAATGACATTTAATTTTAATTCCTAATTCACAAAAAATTTGGGTGGATGAACATATTAAAAATCTTATAAGATTATAATTTTTTAGTTTGAAATTACAAATCCGAGTTAATTCTCAAACACGAATATTATCCATAGCGATTTTCCTGCCATAAAAAGTTATTTACCGATAAATTTGCTTGAAAATGAATCTTCCCCATTCAATGTGGCGCCAAACGAAGAGAAAAAAGTAACACTCGATTTCAGAAGCAGACATTTGATCGCTGCGGGGATCGGAAAAATTTGGCTCCTTCTTTTCTGGCGAGAGGCCAAAAACAGACACTATCGTTTTTCGTTTACCATCAAATAGTAAAAATTGAGAAGCTCTCATTAGTATTCGTCAAATATCATAAAATTGAGGAATATTTGCTCGGTGAGATATTTACGGAGGCGAAAGCGACGCTGCAGGTATCCGCGCAGGGAAGAAATTAATAAGCGCGGCGCGTGATTTACGGCCCGTCAGCGCTGAAATTTCATTTCAAAGTTTTCGCGTCGACACGCTGCGAAATTTGCTTCCGCAATTAGCGCCTACCTCTTATTCAAATAGACAAAAAGTGCCACAAGCGAAACACAAATTGAACAATTAAGGAACAAAACTTGCCAAAATATCCAAAACTAATTTCGCGTTCAATTGGGGAGCAAAATGCAGTCGAGTTTAACTTTAACCAATTCAATTTCTCGTCCCTTTTGAAGACTTAATATTTCATAAGATTTTAAATCAATTTTGAAAATTATTTTTCTTGAGCCTATTCTTGGCATCAAATTATTCAAATTCAGTTCTTAATATTAAGCAGTGCGTTTATAATATAATATAGAAAATTAACCTCCATGAATTGTAATGATTGAATAAAAAACCGTATCAAATCTCACCACAATTAACAATCATTTATGCAAAACGTTTCCAAGAAATGATAGTTCACTAATAAAACTTATAATTTTATTTACCATGTAAATTGTGAACGAAGTTTTGAAAGGAAACCAATTTTAAAGTAAATTAGTTTCTTTGTGTGGAAAAATTGGAAAATGTCAGTAATCTTCAAACATAATCCATCCGAAATTGAAGTTTTGTGAAAAAATTTAGCCCAGTGGAGGTTTGACCACGACACGGCGGAAATGCTGGGTCGCTGGCTTCTTGAAAAAGGTGGAGTTAAAATTCGAAAAATGGGCCACACGTGGAACGCTTTTAACTCGGCAGCCTTTCATGGAAACGTGGGCTTGTTAAAATACTTGCTCGAAACGGACCCTGAGCTCATCGAAACCTCAGGATCAAGGGAAAAACGCCATGCATTTTTTGTGGAGTAGTTTTGCTGATTCCAAAAGAACAATTGAAATGTGCAAGTTTTTGAACGATTTTGACGCAGAGATGGTCAAGCAAAAAACCACGAAAGACAAAACAATGCTCCATTATTCCGCGAAACGTGGAAATCTTGATGTATGCAAATGGCTGGTGCAAGAAATAGATCTTAAGGTGGACGCCAAGGACAATCGTGGATGGAACGCGATGCACTTCACCGCTTCTAATTGATTTGTTCAACTCGAACTTTTGGAATATTTGCACGAGAAAATTCACAATTGATTGAGAAGAGGACCAAGAAAAACGAAACTGTGGACAAGAATAAAAACGGGATCGAAATTGACAACTGGTTTGTCAGTAAAGAGGAGTACATGCGTCTGAATGGAAAAGTGACGGCCCAGCAGAATCAGACTCTGAAGTATCGGGGATGGAGCTGCAGGAAGAACGAATTTCCACAAACCTCGCAAATGTTTATTAAATGTAGAAAGTGATTTTTTACAAGAATAATAATAATTTTTATTTGGAGCTAAAGGAAACGTCGGCTGAAATGATTCATAATTGGATGAGCAGCGAGGAAATTAGGCTTTTGTGTTTGAATCGCGCCTCCCGCATAATTAATTCCGCATTAGGTTTGAATAACTTGGATTCGATATTGAATGAATATTCATCGGAGCTTCAATATTTCCGAATTAATTTGTTTTGCTTCGACGCCAAACGAGCTTTGTTTTGGAGCTCAATTATTATTTGTTGCCTCCCAGAATCGCCGCAATTCATTCGCATTTATCTTCGTTTGCTCCCACAAATTCCCACACCCCAATTTGCAATAATTTAACGGTTCAAAATGAACAGAAATTTTAAAATTAAGATGTTTTTGTGCAGAAAATTTTTAAAATCACAGAAAAATTATCAATGAAATAAATTTTTCCGCTGATTTAATTGATTATTTGGTAAATTAAATTTGTTGATTTGTTCACATTGTTACAACACACTGTTGAAAACAATTTCATTGAAAAGAAAAAGAATTGTTGGACAAAACCACCGCAGTGAGCCTCGGTTGACTTTGGTTTTTGTTTTGTCTATTTTCGCTCAATTGAATTTTAATTTCAATTCCTAAGAATTGATTCTTGCAACAATTCAATTCGTTGGTGGTGCGAAGGTAGATTAGGGTTTGAAAGCGATTGTGGAAGGAGAAAATTGTTCGCCTTGGGCCAAAGTCAATCGATTTGGAGAGACAATTAGCGGGTCTGTTTAGCGTTTGCTCCATCTCACGCACCCTGCGCATCCGATCCTTCATTTCTCCGCAAATTTTCTATTACATCCAATAAAAAAACGAAACCTCTGAAAGTGGAAATAATTAAATTCGAAACACGTTGTTTCACTCAAAAAGTCAAAACGGAACAAATTTTCAAATTTATAGTGTTGAAATTGATTTTTACATTGAAAACATTATTTGCGTTCAAAGAAGAAAAATTAAAAATATTTTCATTTTATAAATGTACAACAGATGTTTATTTGAATTTTTGCAAGTTTTAAACTTCATTTCGTAATGCGTAAGTGAAATGAATTTTAAAATCAGCCCATTTTGTTTAGAAAGAAATGAATGGATAGGGCAGGTGAGGTCGTGGCTGCCGGGGGTGGCAGGAGGGGTGCAGGTGGCACAATGGCCGCTGATTGCACCACCCACCCCACTTCAACTCGCGCCGCCTCATTAGGCCAGCTCATCTCTCCAACAACAATAATTAGTGGTACTCTTGCAGCAAAAATAATTATTTTTTAAAGAATCAAATTATTCGTGACTAATCAGAAGCAATAAAAAATGTATCTTCAATTGAGTTTCTTGATGGAAGCTGGAAATAATTCGACTAAACGATCTATTAATTGTAAGAAGAATAAATTTAAAATTTAAGTTTAAATGGATAAATAAATTATTGCAGTTGCATGAATTTCTACGAATTTTTATCAATCGTGAGAGTTTAATTTGGAAAAAAATCAATAAATAAAAAATCAAAGATTAAATAAAATAATAAAGGTGAACTACTTAATGAAATATATTCACATGAGATTCAATTTGAAATAAGCTCTAAATCTAAATCATTTTAAAGATTTTCTCATAGAAATTTTCAATAAGTTGTGGTTCACTTTTATAATATTTAAATTTTAAACCAAAATAAAATAATCGATTGAAGATTTTTTCCTTTACTTCTTCATCATTCATTCACATTAATAATTGAAAATATATTCGAAAAAATGATTGGAAATTAAAATTTTAAATTAAATATTTAAATTTTGGTATTTATTGCACTTTTCCGGTTCTAAATTGAGATAATATTGTGGTGGGTCGATTGGCAGGTGGAAATTGCGTGGTCAGTAACCGTGTTTGTGCCAATGATTGGGCGACGAAATGACGCGTTTGCGGTTTGGTGCCGTTTCCAAACAACCCCTTCTCTTCACGCGCCGTTGTTTTATTTCCAACAGGCCCGCGGCATTTCACGCTGAAAAGTGTCACCGAGCGAGGAGAATACGAAGCGCGGAAAATGAGAATTGTCAACAAAACAAAAGATTCGTTTTTTTTTCCAGACTTGACATTTCCATGCAACGTGAGGTAAGTTTGATCAATCAACGCCAGAGGATTTGATGCAAGCTCTGCTTTTTCCACTTTTTAACTCTCGATTCATTTCCAAATTTATACAAAATACTAAACCACAATGACTTCTGATTTGGAAACCTGAACTTGTCTTTTGACCTTAAATTTAATCGGCGAATAAGAATTTAAAATATTATAACCTTTAAAGGCCTCCTCACTTTTTAACTCTGATTTTAAACTTGTGGGCAATATTTCATTTCTAAATTATTATTGAGGGCGATCCAAAAGGCTAACTTGGCCCAGGCTAACTTGACTTAGCCCTGGGCTAACTTAGCCCACCAGCAAAATTGAATGGTGGGTTAAATTAGCCCAGGCCAGGTTAATTTAGCCTGGGCCAAGTTAGCTATTTGGATCGCCCTCAGTATTATTACTTCTCTCTTTCTTTTTTTCATAAAATTTTGAAAACATCTGCCGGAGTAATTAATTTTTAGGCCGAACTTATGGTGCGGATATTTCCGGGCCAAGTTTAAATCGGGTGAGAGACGGTTTAATTATCTCTTGACAAAAAAGAAAAAGGAGGGCGAGGCGATATTTCAACTGCAGCTAGCAGGGGACGCATATTTTATTCAAATCGCAAGCCACGAACTCGGGGAAGATACATTGCGGGCCAAATCACGCCGCTCGGAACAAAGAGGTTAACTCGAGCTGGAGCGAAAATCGATTTTTGCTTTTCGGCCCAACCTTTGCATTTCCTCGGAAAATTTCCAAAAAATTAACAGCACTCGAAGGAAATTTAAAGATCTTTAAAAAAGATCCTCAAGTCGATCGAATTGGTGAAGTTGTGTCCTAAAAATTATTAAAATTTTATAGAAATTTAGTTATTTTTTACTCAAATATTTTGGAAAATCTTAAGAGAAATTTAATTTAATTTAATTCGTACATTTTTAGTGGGAATTATTTTCCATATCTTTCAATTGGTAAGTTAGTAGAATAGATGGAAACTAAAATCAAGCGTTAATTTACCCTCAATTTTAACTTAAGATTTTTTTCGTCAAAAGCGCAAAATCGTAAGACAGACTGAAATTTTCTCATTTCTTTTCAAGGTGAAAAGCTACAATTTTTTTTTCTTCTTTAATTGCATCTGAAGAAAATTTAATGAACTCTTTTTAAATCCATTTTCTAAAGGAACTGGTCTGAGCACCCGCAAGACTGCAAATTTAAATATCTTTTGAACCCAAAAATCACTAAATTATACTAACATTTTTGCTACTTTCCAGGTCGCTGACGCCGATTGCAAAAAGTGAACTTGGCCAATAAATTGTGTGAAAAAAATGTTGATCTTTGAGGGGCGAGGAGGAGGAGAAAGGGTTGCGCGAGTTAATTACGAGGAAATTTACGGCCGCGCGATAAAAAGTCAATCGCCTCCGTCCTGCCCATTATTGCAGTTAGTTTTCTGTTGCGAGCACCCCATTGTCACATCGTCACCCCCACCCCTAGGCAATGGTCGCGATTCGCGGCACAAAACTTTGTTTCCGCTCCAAGGACGTCGCATTTTCTTTCTTTCCACGGCTCCACGCCATTACCATTTCTTACGACACAAAAATAATTTTTTCTTCAATCCAAGAATTTCAGCCTTTCTTGACAGTTTGCATGTTTTTTTTTTTAATTATTTTGAAATAAATCACATTTCACGTTACAATTATTCTGGCTTATTCTTTCTGTCCGATTAAGCTCTCCTAGTATCAGGAATTTTTCTGCCACCTTTTCTTTAAAAAATTGCACGTCTTTTGCTATATATTTGAAAGTTGATGATCTTTGCGAAAAACTAGTTTTTTTTTTTATTTTTTATTATTATTTTTAGGGTCAGGCCAAGACAAAGTCTTGTCGGCCTGTGCCCTTTATTGGTGGTGCAGAAGGCACCATCCAATTATTATTATTTTTTTTTAGTATTCTTCTTACTTTTAGTCCGAAAATAAACTATGCACTATGAATTTCCGTAATTCGGCGACGCAAAAACATTGTTTTCCTCAACTTTCTGACCATTAAATTCAACAAAAGTTTCGTTTCACTGAATTTTCGAGGTTAAATTTCGATTCAAAACTGACTCACGGTTACGCCACTGGAGGAAAAAAAGAGGAATTGCGTCTTACCTGAAACAGAGAAAGAAACACAAATTGAGTGAAATGGAAACGGAGGCTGCAAAAAACAACCGGCTCTAATTAAATGAACAGCTGCTCCTCTTTTCTCTCTCATTAAAAAAAGGAGAGAGGAAAAGCAGACAAGCGAAACAAAATTGGATTACACATGGGTTGGAAGTTCCAGTTGTACTTACTAAAAATAATTATCAAATAACGATTCAATATGAAGCAATAACTTTTAAATAAAAATTAATTATTTTTAATTAATATGTTGAAAAAGAAGATATCATAAAAAAATGAAGATTTTTATTTGTTGTGGAAAATAAATGAGATTTTCTTTTGTTACCACTTTCTTCAAATATATTATTTTATTCTTACATCACTTAATTTTTGAAGAATAAACACTAATAAAATAGCAGTATATTGATTAAATTTTATGACGATCAACTTCAAATTGTCAAACCATTTGAAATATTTTTATTGAAAAAGATGTACGGATCTTTTAGCAAAATAACATCAGATTTATTAATCCAAATATTTTAACGCTCATCCAAACCACCAAAGCAGACTTTAATTTATTTAACTATAACAAAAATTGAGAAATTACAACAAATATATTGCAAAAGTTTAAATAATCACAAAATAACAATAAATAATAGTATTCAGCAAAAAAACTTGAAAACGAATCAAGACTTTGTAGAAAAAGTGCATATTTGTTTGTCAAAATCGTTGAGAAGTTTTTTTTTTAATTATTTTCAAATTAAATTGAATCATGTGCTCAAAATCTTGTCCAACAAAATCGATTCCGAGAACAAAAGCGTTGCTCAGTTTGAGAGAAACTTGAGAATTTCCGCAACATTTGTGTTGCTCAAGACGTTTTGAGTGAAACCCGCGTGTTTGTCACTTTTGAAGTGCAGCTGCGGCCTCATTAAAAATTCATCTTGGCTGCGGCGTGATTTATCGAAACACAAGTTGTGCTCAGAAAGGAGTAAAATGTTGCGTTGCGAGTGCGGATCGAGGCGGTTCGAATTGTGATTCGCATCCAAACTCCCTTCGGCTCGATGCGCAAATTCACATTCAGGCGAAAAAAACGGCAGAGAAAATCCTGCTGAATTTGCACAATAATTCGCAGCAATAAATTCTTTTCCTTCCAATCCGGAAAATAAAGTCGCGATTCCATTTTTATTGCATGACGATCGGAAAACCCGAAACATTGATCAAGTCCAATAAAATTTTAAAATCATTCCCAATTAATCTGTAAAAAACTTTTTTTCATTTGATTATAAAATAAAACGTGAATGTCGTGAATTTAAAAGGGTTGTGATTTAATTTGAAAATGATGAAAAACGTAATTTCTTAATTTTCTGTAAAATTAATTCTAATTCAAGATAATGCATGACAATGAAATTATTTCAAATCAAGAAGGAGTCACTTTTGATTTGCAATGCCCGGAGTTATCTGAAAATTAAATTAATTACTGAACCCTTGAGTTTGCCTGGCTCCGAGTGCGATTTGGAAGCGCAAGTTTTTGGTTTGCTCAACAAGAGCAAAAACCGACGCAGGTCCTAAGTGCATTTTAACTTTTTGCCGCCTCCTCACGTCACCACAAAAGCAACAAACAATCCATCTTCAGAAATGCGAGTTTGCAATTCAAAAGCAGAGAAGCGAAAGTTTAAATTAAAGTCCAAATATTAATGAGGGCGATCCAAAAGCCAAACTTGGCCCAGGCTAAAATAACCTGGCCCGGGCTAATTTAACCCGCCATTCAATTTTGCTGGTGGGCTAAGTTAGCCCGGGCTAAGTCAAGTTAGCCTGGGCCAGGTTAGGCTTTTGGATCGCCCTCATTATGTTTAAAAATTTTCCACCGAAATAATAAAAGTTCCAATTTAATTACAAAACTTTTGACCTTCAAAGTCTAAAATTGTTGTTGGAGATGAATTGAACTGAAATTTGAGGAGAGGATATAATTTCCTCAATAATTAAATTTTTACCATCATATTCAAATTGATTTTTACTAATAAGTTATAATACAATTCATTTTATTTGAAAAGCATTTTTATTTTCATAACATCAGTACATAGTAATTTAATTTATAAGAGAGCGTTAAAATTTTAAATAGAAAAAAATCTGCTAGAATTGTTTATGAATTTGAATCAATTAGAATAATTTTGGAGCGCGGCCAAAGACGGGCTCAGATTTGTCTGAAATTTATAGCCAAAGTTTTGCCCGAGTTAATTGAAAGTTCTTTCTATTGAGGCAAACAATCTTTGTTATCTTGATTTATCGGAATCGCCTTCGACGGACTCGGATTCACTTTTTATTGAAACCACGACCCATCTTTTCTGATCTTTTCTTTCTGCTCAGTCAGACAAAGAAAAGTTAAAAGAGAAGAAAAATAAAAAAAATATCAGAAAATGATTGAAACATTCATGAAAAATATTTGCAAGTTTTAAATTTTATGCAAATTTCTACTCCAAAAGACACCGATTTTATGACTTAAATGAGGTAATAAAAAACTAATTCTGAATTTACAATAAAATATGCGTTTTTGTTAAGATATAAACAAAAATTTCACAATATAACCCGATAAGTAGCAAAAACTTAATTCTTGCTTTGTGAATTTCAATTAGAGCGAAGCCTTTCTTTGGATTCCAATTGAAATTCGGCGTGGGTTTTCGTCTTTTGCCCTGTTAGTAGGAAACAAGGCCTGTTTACAAATTCATCCCCTTCCCTCTTTTCGCACGCGCGTCTTGGCAAAATGCCAACTCGACTCTCCCAACAGATCATCATCATCTGCGGCCTCACTTTTTTTAAACTCAAACTCGCCCGATTTTCATCAAAAGAGCAAAGCTCGAATCGGGTTTGTAACTTTGAATTTTGCTAAATGAAAAAATTGATCAGAAATTCGTCATCATCATCCTGGAAAACATATATTTTGACACCTTGCGCATGACCCTGAGGTTAGAATATAGGGGGTTTTATTCAAATTTTCATTCCTTGCATATCAACTTGATCATAAGAAGCTCTGAAAAGCAGGGTCAACTTTGAAATAAAATTATAAGAAATTCACAAAAAATGAATAAGAAAGTTTTTTTTTCGTCACAACAATTGAATTTAACAAAAAAATTTACTATTACTTGTAAAGTTTTGCAGCTTTTGGAAAAAAACCTTGTTTATTTGGATTAAAATTGTAAATTTCAAGTTGTCGACCTTCGACTCTTTGGAAATTTTTATTTCCTCAAAACTTTTTAATCATCTTATGCAGTAGAAAACAATTTTTTTCCAAAAGTTTTTGTTCAAACTTTGGCGGAGCAATTATTTAAAAAGACAATGCAGAGATGAGAAGTTTGCAATAATAGTGGAAGTTGCGCGGCATCGATTGTCGTTTTGGGGGTGGTGGGGGTTGCACGCGTCGCCGGCTGCATATCTCGCGGGGGCAACGACGCGGAAAAGGCGGGCTGAGCCGCTGCTGGTGTTTGCCAAACCGAGACCGACCAAATTTGATGAAACAACACGTTTCCTTCAACAAACACTAATTTTACCAACAATTAACGTTTTATCCCATTTTTGTTATGACAAAATTCAGCAATATTGACAGAAAGGACACATTTTGGTGAAAATAACCAATTAACTTATAACGATAAAAAATCAAATGAATTTCTTTACAATTTTCACATTTTCTTACTTTTTTTATGAGCAAAATTGTTCCAGTCAGTCTAAGTAGCTATTTTATTTTATTTCAATACAATATATATTTTTATAGGGAGAAGTAAAATTGAGTGTTTCACAGTGAATAATAATTTTATCAAAGTTGCTGAATTTCATTTTGAAAGCGAACCTGCGTTTGCTTCTTAATCAGAAGGGGCGCGTCCGTTTTGCAAACCTGAGCAGTTTTCCATGAGAACCAACAAAGTAGAGAGGCTCATTGTTGTAAAATCGCTTATTTGGCTGGTTGAGAATGGTTTCAAAGTTTTTCGAGTGCATTTTTTCATTCTTAAATAATAGTTGTTTGTTTAAACAATTAAAATATGTTTCAATACTAAAACACATAATAATAATTTAGTAAAATCTAAAAAAATTATAGAAAAGAAAAAAATATTTGAGTGATGAAATTATTTAAAAAAAAAAAAATGTAAATTTCATTGAAAAAAATATGATAGCCTGTAATGGAAAAAATTGTAATTTGATAGAAGGCGAGCGTTGGCCGGCGCTTTTTTCATTGGTGAAAGGAAAGGTTTTTTTGATCAGGGTTGGTGGAAAGGCTTCCTTGGCTCGGACTTTGATTAAATTCGCCTTTGTTTGCAGCTTTCGCCTCCTGTCAACTTCCCTCCTGCTTCGTTCAATAATGCAAAATGCGCCAAAATCAATCCGGAGAAAAAGTCCGTTTCCTCAAACTTGTCAAAGTCAGTGAAACATAATAACGGCGTTAAATTTTTATTCGTCTCGGACCTCGGCCCCTCCCTTTGACAAACTTTCGCTCACCAAACTCGCCATTGTTGCAATTTCATGAAGGGAGAGGATTAAATTCGGAATCAATTTTTGCAAATATTTATTAATCAATTTTAAACTTCGATTTTAATTCTTTTAGAACATTGACTCGAAAATCGTTGCAAAAATCAAAAGTATTTTATTGCTATGCAAATGTTTATTTCAAAAAGCTGAGACTGGCAACAATGGCCACAAAAATACTGTGGTTCATTTTAACAATTGAACACATTGTTAAATTAAACACAACCAAAATTAATACTTATATTTGTTGATACAACAAAAAAAGTTAACTAGAATGTTTTCCTTAAACACAAATTCAACAATAAAAACATTTTTTTAAGAATTTAAAACCCAAAGAAACCACTCGAAACGGGGAATAATAAAATTAGTACTGCGACTTATCGCCTTGACGTGGAATTACGTTTTGAGACAACGAGATATTTGATCTCGTTGTCTCGGAACGTAATTCCACGTCAAGGCGATTAGTCGCAGTACTAATTTAATAAAAAACATTGTTACAATGA